CCACTAACATTAAGTGGGCGACGCTTAGCATTTCTCCTTAAAAATAGCAAAGCTTAAATTCTTAATAACAGAGTTCAGAGAGAGATTAGATTATCTGAAAAGGAAAAGCCCAAGAAAGTAAGAGGCCTTGTCAGAAACAAGTTTCTTCAATCTTTGCTCCCTCCTTCATCTTGGGCTTTTGATTTACGATCAGTAGTCATTTTCCTGAATTTTTTCCCCCCTACGTGTTCAGTTAAACTGAGTACATAACATCAAACAAAATTCTTATACTGCATAAAGATGTAGGAAATACTTTACTATATATGCTTTGAACTCTGAAAAAAATTTATAGCCTCCGACTCAATTAATTTGTCACGTTTGCATCGTTCTTTCCGGTTGATGGCGCAGTTTCAAACTTGAAAGATGCTTTCCTGCATGCAGTTTTTTTTTTTTTTTTGATAGAGTAAAATTAACGGTAAGAAAACATGTTTCTAGCTATTAGAATGTATTCCTTCAGTCTCGAAATTATTATTTAATTTGAAATTTTACATTTAATTTTAAAATTGTACTAAAAGTGAAATGTCAAATTGGACAATTATTTTGGAGCAGGAGTAATAAATAAATTGATGATAATTCAGGTTTATTATGTGAATAAGACGAATTGAAGAGCAATCGGAACACTTTCTAACATCAGAATATTCTTTTTGTATAAAAAGAAAAAGGAACCCCAAAAAAAAAAAAAAACTATGCAGCTTTTGTGATAATATATGCTGGGGCGGTAGTCAATGCATCATATCAAGCATCTCATCTGTGTAGTCCCGTTACTATTATTTTCATAATTAGTAAACGGAATTGATTAGGCCAGTCAATTATAGCTGCAACTGATCTTGATTGCTGAAAGCTGAAATCAAAAGAAGAAAAAAAAAAATACGAAAACAAGAAGCCACCAACTTTGGATAACTGATTTCTGCTGTGAGAATAAGAGCCACCAAATTACACTAATGTTATGGGTTGACTGATATGATAGGTCAACCCCTCACGTTTTGCCGTCTGATAGTTTTTTCCTTATGATATTCATTTCATTTCAAAATAATTTTTTAATTTAGAATTTTACTTTTAATATAAATTATACGAGTTTAAAAATTTTAAAACAAGAGTATTTGTTTGAGGGTATCTTTATGCAAAAAATTACAAGTAGAATGAACCAATGGAGAAAATTCTAATTTTTCTGGGTGCAAAAATACTTATGGTTACACAGATAGTATTACAATTTACAATTTTTAATAAATTCATGTGAGTTGTAAATAAATCTGCTTCAAAATATATTCGTACCCATGTTCAAACTCAAGATAGTCTACAAGTGGCATTGATACATCTCGGCTGACAATTCTTTTTTCGGCTGAATCCTCCACACGGAGCGGGCATGCATGACTATACTTTGAAAAGGTCATGTACTTTGTAGGTGTATTTTTTTATCTTTTATTTTTAGATTAGATGACGCTAATAAAAATTTAACCCCTGACCTCCTACGATAACTATTATCTATCCTAATTCTCTTATCACCTCGCGCACTCCTCCCACCCCATATACTTTGTAGGTGTATCCAACAACTAAAATGACAATGAGAGCCTTATACTTCACTCTTATAATTGTAGGATAACGAAAAAATCCACGCCAATTCCTAGTTGTTGGGGAAAGGAGAAATTATTTGGTTCAAGGATTCAAATCACAATGAGTTACTACCTCCATTCCTATATATAAGACAGAGTTAATTAATTTTACACGAACCAATAAAACTAATAAAAATTAGTTTTTTGTCTCAAAACTATTATAAATTCTCTAAATTGTCCTTGATAATATTAATGAAGTGGTTAAATTAATTTTGAATTGGTTAGTTGTGAAGGTAAAGAGAGAAAAAAAACCATTAAATGCTTTTTTAGAAATATAAACTTTTTTATAAAAAGGAATGGAGAAAGTATGTCCAAAACCTCTTATAATAAGGAATGGAGGTAGTAGTTCTTTTAATGCCCTCCAGGTGAAAGAACGTAGATTATCCGCATTACATCGTTGATGAAAAATGGTAATCTGGTCTCAAAATTATGTCCAATTTAAGTTTTTATTCTTAGTTCAAATTGTAAAGTAAAATTTGAAATTGGACAATAATTTTGAGATAGAGAAAGTATCATCAGTACTTTCTTTTACCTACACAACGTTCTCTTTTCTTAATTTAGACATACAATTTTTTTATTTTTATTTTTTGATCAGCTAGACATACAAGTTACCTCATCTATTATTGTTCTGAAAATAAAAAGCAAGTAAAGGCCCCGTTTTTTTTTTGTTATCTTTTGTATATTTTGCATTAACTAACTGTGGTGAGATTAGCACATTCTAAATAATTTTCATGGGAATGTTAAATAATAGTGCATATATCTTTCTTTCTTTTTCTTGAAAAATAGATGCAATTTTTTTTTCCAGATAGTGCATCTATCTATTAATTAATAGTATTGGTTAAAAGTCATTATTGCATGCTTTTTATTGTGGTTACAAATATGGACAGCAAGTGACAAATCCATCCAAAACATGATTAATATTACAGGCTTTATTTTCTGAAACCAATCACATGCCTGTTCCTGGGTTTTGTTCTTTAGGTAGAACCGTAGAAGTAGAACGAAATCTTTGGCCTCATGGAGGTAAAGGTATTCAAGCTTTGGTATTTCTTCATGATGATGAATTGATGATTAAATCAACCTGGTTAATATAAATAATTAATCTGAAACTCCCCCAAATGCATTTGTTATTTGCAAAATATAATATTGCTAGCCCTCATATAAGGTTTTTTTTTTTTTTTTTATATTGCAGAGTGTCTACTATCGGCAACTCGATGATAGCCCTCATATAAGTTAATATATATCCCAAAATAATGGTTTTATTTAGGCTATAATAAACATATTATTTTGGAACTAGTCGAATAATGCTTTATATTCGTTGGGGTTTCATGTGGTTTTTTTTTCCCCAATATTGACTATTTTGGTTTTCGGAATCCATTATGATCACACATGGTGAAACAAATAATTAGGGTGTCGTTGTTGCTGATCTTATCATCCCATTATGATAATTATTCAACAAATCAAATCTGGTGAAAGTTGATATTTCTGGCCTTTCAAGTGTTGGTTCTATATTGAAAAAAGAAAAGATAAAAATAAGACACAGCAACTGTATATGATCAAGACTTGATCAGGACATAATACATGTGGATGGCCATCAACCAACAACAATATCCTTATATTCCCTCCAAATCAATAGTCTAAACACTTTAACTAACTAGACAGTATCAATTGTACCTTAATATAATAAGAAGCATGATTAATAATCATTTTCTCCTAATAAATTTTCGTTGTGTAGTAAGTTCCAAGTGCTTAAATCATTATAATTTGTCTCTTTTCCTTGAGCCCACACAAGCATCCCCAATGCTCATGGAACTAACGTACTTCCTCCCTCTTCCAAATTATATTGACATTAAACTTACTTTTTTTTTTTTTTTCATATTTGTAGGTTGTCCACCGTCGGCACTAATCGTCCCGCTGAATTGTAAGCACCTCGATGGATGGGACTGCTGGCCAAAGTATTTAAGATTACTCTATATCCATGACGAAGTTCGAACCCTCAACCTATGATTAAGGGTGGAGGAGTATCTTCCACTCTACCACAACCACTTTGATTAAACTTAAATTATTCTCATTTTGATAAAGAAGATGTATCTATTTTAGTCTACTTTTACCCGTCAATAAAGAGGCTAGTGTTTTCCCTTCAAGGGTTCAACCAATTTACGACTAACAATGACAAACTCATGATTTTAAGTTAGTATTTCGTTATGAAATGTTTTTGTTTAATAAAATTGATTATGAATTATGAAATCGGTAAGTAATGTAAATGATGTTCTGGACACTATGGGTTGATTTGTCCAAATTTTTAGGCCTTTGTCAGGATAAGTACTAGCCGTAGAAATTTTAGATTGATGGTCATTTGTCAATCGACGAAAAATGTTAGTCGCATTTAAGTTTTTGGTAGTACCACTTCTGAGGCAGACAATTCGGCATTGTAAACAAGAACGTAAGCTCTCTTTTTTTAGTTTATTAATAGTATCGTTAAACTGGGAAAATGGTCCAACAAAGTCAGCATTGTTTTAGGGTCCATCATTCCAGAGTTATGGGTTTATGTGTTTGCCACTTGCCACTTAATAAAAATTTAAGCCACCAACATTATTAATATTAACTTTCGCCTTTTAAAAAATAAATTATTGCATTGATTTCAAGATTCCAATTCCATTGTGTGATTAAAAGAATTCCAGTTTTGGTATATCTTATAGCAAAAGGGCCAACAAGAACTCCATTGCATATCACTAAAGCGCATTCCTCATTTAAATTTTAATCCGCATCAATTATTTTATTTCATCAGTGATTTCCAATGGTGTGCGTATATGACATGCATTTGACTCTCGGTCTAATTGGTCCATCTCAATACAATGGAAAATCAAAATTCACCAAATTTATTGAAAGCGTTGGGTAATAAATTACACGTCTAAAGTTAATTCAAATTGAGCACCATAATACGAAAAATATGACAATTAAGCTACAAAATATGTACATGTAGTATTCACAAGCCATAACAATTTTTACTGGTCCAACAAACTAGGCTTGACTCAAATCAACAAATTTAACAGTCCAAATATTGAACGGGATTCATTGTGTACTATGCTGACTTTATTATGCAATTTAAACGACTAAGCTAGCATCTCATATGCACAATTTATTGATGACTTCGAACCAAAAAAGAAGTCTGCAGCACAAAAAAATACTCCCTCCATTTCAAAATAAGTGTCGTCCTACATTTTGCACATAGTTTAAGAAACTCTTAAATAGAGTAATAAAATTACTTGAATATTCTCAACCAACTCCATTATAAAATTGTCCACCAATAGCATCAACTCTTTTGAGAGTAATTTTGGAAATTTTTGACAAAAAGTGCATTGAAATGTGAAAACGACACTTATTTTGAAATTTCTCCATTTTACTAAAACGATACTTATTTTGGAACGGAGGGAGTACAAAATGAAAATGACGGTAGACAACTCTGTAATTTTTTGTAAACTTTAATGGGGTGCTGATAAGTGATAACTTCCTGAACATTGAAAGTTATCAGGAATAAAAGTTGATGAAGACAGTCATGCTAATTGCCATCATACCATTCAAAATTTAGGATTTTAAAAAAGAATGATAAAGGCATTTCCCAACGCCAAACAATGATCATATCAATAGGAACCCAAATAACAACACTCATTCATAATTCCAAAACTCCCATTTCTATTCCCCCAAAAAAAAAAACAAAATAAAAAAAAAAATCCCAAGGCCAAAATTAAAAACCAAACCATTTCCACGATGATTGGTTTTTGCCCAAATTTACAACGTTCATTTTCTTTTTCCCTTTACAATTGACTGCATATTTACAGTGTTTTAGCCTATCTATTTTTTTTTTTTTTTCCATTCTCTATTTTCAATCTTTTTTGTTATTCGCTAAACACCTCAATCATTTTAAGACGGAACAAATATGGGAGAAGAGAGAGACCCTTTTCCTTGGCGACCGGAAGTTGGACAGCTATAATTAGATGGAGGGGGTCGTGAAAAAAAAACATCCAGTTTCCAGCTAAACTGACACATCGGATGTCACCCTGGCAGCGCTGTTACCGGATCTAGGTTGCCGTAGAAGTGCAGTCAGCATCTCCGCCTGTCCACCCACACACACACACACACACATCATTCATCGTCACATACGACAAAACATCCTAAGAACCCCCCAAATATATTAATTTCGTGACATATACGATTCTGATACTGTACAAAAAAAACACTATTATTATTATGTCAGTTCAATTAATTCTGGCATTTCGATTTGTCCAGAATTACAGTCCTCTTTTTTTGGCACAAATTGCCGTTTCCCCCACTGTTTATTCCGACCAATACAACGAAAAGATGCCTTTTTGACGTTAAAATAATCTCCTATCGATATCGATTTAAGTAAGCAAGTAAAGGTGAAGTGAAACTGAAAATGACTGCCACAAAATTAGTGGAGTTTCTTTGTACCATAAATGCACAAAACTAATTTTTATCCTATTCATTAGAACAACAAATTTTAAACTGAAAACAAAAAAAATAAGAATCAATAGTAAAAGAACAGGAAAAAATAACTTGATTTGTCTTGCAATTTCAGAAAGTCGAGTATTGCCATGTTCAGGTCAGTAATGTGACATTTCCGAGCAGAAAACACATTTTGCTGGTTTATGGCTCAAAAAAGAATATTCGCCGCCAGCCACCTTCAGCATTTTAAACCTTGTCTGAAACTTTAAAAATAGCTCTTTGATTGTTCCACTACCTTAGAAAAATCCTAAAAATTTCCAGATTAAGAAAATTCTACTGCTTCATATTTACGCCTTTGGGATTACTACTACTACTACTCAAACACCTTTTTTTTTTTTTTTTGAGAAGCAAAAAATCATCAAAATATCCAGCTTTTCTGGCTATTTCCCATCTTCCATGTAATTATTTGGTATGTTTTAGACGTTTTTCCTATTGCGAAAATTGGGACAAATTCCGGATTTTTTTTTAACGTTGAGGTTCAAAATTAAAATCACTACAAAAACCCAAATAAAAATAAAAGGTAAATGGAAATTAAGTTGTAAAATGTTCATTACCTTTTGTTTAGCTCGGCTGGTTCCGGTCTGAGACAGAGCAACCAACGGAGGAATTACGCCTTCCCGAGCCACCATAGTCCGGTAAGTCAGACTATCTTCACAAAGCTGCAAAAGTATGGAAACCGCAATCTCCTTCTGCCGTTGGGTCCCTACTTCGACGAGCTCCACCAGCACCGGGATACCGCCTTCCTCCACCAACGCCGCCCGGGATTCCGTCACCGACATCAGCTGGCTTAGAACAAAGGCCGATTTATCCACCATGTTCGACCCGAAATCCGCCATCAATTCCACCAGCGGCTTCATTATCCCGGCTTGAACCGCCCTTACCTTGTTCTCCTTCACCGAACACAACGAATAGAGCGCCGTCGACGCGTCCTTCTTGCCGCGGAAATTCCCGGTTTCTAGAAGATTCACCAGCGGCGGAATCGCACCGGACCGCCCGATTGCGATCTTATTCGAATCCACTTGAGAAAGTCTCAACAGTGCACACGCGGCGTTCTCTTTCGCCGTAGAAGTCCCCAATTTCAGAGCCTTAATTAGGGGTTTTATAGCTCCGGCCGCCGCAATCGCATCTTTGTTTTCGTCACAGAGCGAGAGGTTCAAAATCGCGGTGACGCCGTACTCCTGAAGCTGCGAATCGCCGGAGGAAATGATTTCAATCAATGGCTTGATAGCCCCTGCTCTGGCAATCTTGAATCGATTCTCCGGCTTGTTCTTGGCGAGCAGCCGGAGCTCCAGCGCGGCTTGCTTCTGCAATTCGGGGGAGGAGGAAGAGCTGAGATCGGAGACGAGCTGGTTGATCAATTCGTCGGAATTATCGGAAGCGCAGGAGATGAGGAGGCGGCGGCTCTGGGAGGAGGTGGTGGGGAATTCGCCGGATCTGTCACTGTTACAGTCACTGAAAGCCGACGAAGAGTGGTCGTCGTTGACGGTGAGGCCGCTGAAGGTCCGGCCCAGATACGTGAAAGTGTTTGTGCTGCTGCTATTATCGGTGGGATGAACAGTTTGGACCTCTGTTTCCATTTGGATGAAGGGCTAAACTGAATTATCAGAAAACTGGTGGATTTGATCAATAATAATCAGACATGAATGAATGAAAGAGAGATGAAAAACTAGGATGAGGATGAATCCAAATGAAAGAGGAGATGAAAACGACAGCGTCTAAGTTGCCACACCCGGGGCCCTTTTTGGAAGACAGTTATTCAGAGGTTAGAACCAATATGAGCTGATCAAAATGAACCAACGTTTTAAAGGAGGGGGGTGGCGAAGAGAAAGAGAGAGATTTGGCGTTTCTAAATTGATGTCTAAGAGCCAAATCATTAGTGCATTTCTATGGTCTGATGAATAAATAAAAAAAAAATAGTGAATTATTACTCAAATCGCCTCAACAGTTCTATTTTTTTTAAATAAAAAAAAGTTTATTGTGCTATACTCGACAATAAACCCCTTCGAATACATTTTTTGCCCCCCTTTTGGTTCTTTCTAATTGGAATATAAAGAGATTTTTAACATTAAAGTTGGGTTGAGATAAGCACAGTGAAAAATATGGTCTCCCCCCAAAAGTTATTTACATATCCAACTTTTAGATTTTTAAAAAATGATTGTGAGACTTATAATTAGAAGCCAATGAAGTATTCTTAAATGTTATTGGGTGAAGTCATTTACTATCTCTTTTTACTTTTATACGTTGTTTTAGGATTTACACAATTATTATGGGAGTAATAATTAAGACTTTAAATTTTAAGTTTTTTTGTTCCTAATTAAAATTAGAAAAACGATATATATATATATAATGAATGAAAATAGTGACAAAACATAGTGACTGATGTGGATTAATCATGGCTCCTAATTTTTTGCAAAACTTTATTTTTCTCAAAAATTACATTTGTACCCTTTAATTAATAAATAGACATATAGTAAGTGTGTGGTGTATTTGTCTTTTCATTTGTCACTATTCAAATTCACTATAATTTTTTACTATCTATATCATAACTCTTAAAATTATTGAAATTTTACAAAAATTTAAAATTATAGTGTAAAAAAAGTATTTGTCATTAATATATATTATTAAAAAAATAAAGAAATAAAGATGAAATTGAAAAAACTGTATTTTTTTTTCATTTAAAATGAAGTACGACATATTAAAAAAAAGTTTTGGATTCACTCTAAAGTACCTAACTGGTAAAAGTAACGACGGTGGTACTACGAAGTGCAACAAATTATAGAAGAAAACAGAGTTGCGAATGCAGCATACGCATTAGTAAATACACCTGTACACTTTGTAATGCTCTCTTCACCTTGTTGTTACTTAATCCACTTTGCGATTAAAGTTTTGATTAGAACCATGGTTATTGTTAATCTCATTGAAAAGTCACTTGTATGAGAACTTCTGGAGAAGAATTGTCCACAATGAGAAGAATTGTATGAGTTTGAAATAATGCTATCATTTCGGTCCGTGTAATAAGATATTTCGAATTTAAAATAATAGTGTTTAAAGTTTCATTTTTAATTAGAAAAACACGATAACTGAAATTTATGAAAAATTAAAATGGAATATAATAAAGATATAGAGAGTATTCATTTAAAATATATTTAATGAAATAAAATTGATAGCTTAATATTAAAAATAAAAGATGGACGTAGTAATTTCCCCAATTCAATATGTAAAGTATAAATATAATGGATTTTGCTCGTATGAATATTTTTCATCAAACATGGAAAGAGATTGCATTACTATATTATAGAACTTTTTTTTACAACCAAGTGTAAACCGATCTGCTTATGAATTTTCGGTATTTATTTTGCACCTTTTGATTTTTAAAAGAAGAAGAAGAAAAAAAAGAAGAAAAAAAGAAGAAGGGGGTTCCACCTGGAAGTGAGGAGGGGAGAGAGGGAAGGGAGGGACACGTGGACGACCGTACCGAATCCTGCAGTCGAAACAGCACGTGTGATGTGTGAAGGGTTCTATTGTCTCTTTTCAAGCGTGCATCGAAGCTCCGCAAATCCATGCCGCTCTCACCGGGCGGGCCTCCCCACACTTCCACGAGGGCCAGCCCACACATGATAACATCCTCCCGCTTTTTTCTTTTTCTATTTTTTTTTCCTTTTCTTTTTGGCTTCTTTATTTGCCTCTTTCTATTTATTTAGTTTTTTTTTTTACAAGAAGGCTAATACTTAATTAGCACATTTCTGGGATATACTACCCCAATTACATCATACTCTAACCACAGCTGGACCGACAGTGAATTTGCCTCTTTCTATCTTCTTTCTTTTTTGGTCATTTACTAAAATTTAACCATAGGCATGATTCCAATCAATGGAATCATAAAATTACTAACTAAATCAAAGGTTTTTTTTTTTTTTTTTGGTTTTCAGATGATACCAAGAAATTTGTATCAATTTTATTAAAAATCAGCTAGACCCTGATTTTAAACAATAAATGTGATAATGCAAGGACATAACTACCTCCACTTTTACCTTAAACATGCATACATTTTTATAACATGTACAACCAGGGTTCGATAACGATTAGTGAATATTAAAATAGTTTTTAGTCGACGAATTTCCAAAAATTCGAACAACGTCTCTTGCCTTAGGTTTCATGATCAACACTCTAGGTATGTGGATTCGCCCAAACAACTGAATGTTGTGTACATTCGGCTACATATATAAGACTCACTCCGGCCCTTATTATAAGACATTTTAATTCCGTCTTAGGATTATCCTAAAATATCTTTTAATTAGAAAAAAAAATCTTAAACATATATTTTTATATTCTTTATGTTCTCCTAATTATTACGAAATATTTTTAAGATTTTTATTTTAATTAAAAAATATCATAAATGAAATTTAGGACAAAATCAAAATGTCTTATAATAAGGACCGAGGGAGTAATAAGGATAATTATATAAATGCATACATGTGCCACATTGCCTAATTACTATCGTAGTAAAAAAAAAAATTCTTGGTGAAAAAGATGGACATGAGGATACCTGTATTTACGTTGTTTTAAATTTTAATAAGATTCGAACTTTTTCTTAGACTGGACGTATAATAAACGAAGTTATATCACTATTTAATTTTCATAGACCTTTTTCTCCAACCTTCCCAGTTCTAACCCTCATTTCTTTCGTATATATATATATATATATTTTTCTTTTGTTTTGTTTAACAACACTAATAGGCATTTCCAAAAACCTTCTAACCCCTATTTTGATTCGAGGAGAGGTTGTTGAGCTAGACAAAAGACGAGATTTCTCAACCACTTGCAGATATGATCATTTGGGAGTATTATAAACAACATCTGACTCTGGGCCTGCGTTAAAAATGACTGCTTGTTCAAGAACTGGAAAGAGTCAATTGTTTCCGAAGCATTAGGACACCCATTTTTGGTTGGCTGCTGATTATTTAATTTGAGCATTGAACACATAATTTAATCATAAAGGCTTCTCAATCTTCAATCGATCGGTGAAAGTTTCAAGTTAATTTTATAAGGATTTAGTTGAATAAATACCTTTCTTTTTTTAAAAAAAGAAAGGTACTAGTTTTTAGTTGAATACTTTTCAATTATCATCATATAACTTGTCACACTCGAAAGGTTATGGCCATTCTTCATCTCAAGTAATTCCAGATTTATGTTGTCAATATTCTTTTTTTTTAATCCAATCAACTGCTGTAAGTGTTTTCAAGAGGGAAAACATAAGAGCCATATATATATTTATGATGAATATGGCTTATGTCTAATTTGTGTACCCGAAGTTTAACCATAATGGCATCTTGTAAGTTGTAACCAGTAACTAACAAAATTTACTAAATGAAGATTCGGTATAAAACTAAAAAGTAAACGCAAGACAACAACAAACCTGAGAAAATGACAGTTACATTTACCAAATCAATTAAAAACAGTGGTATCATTGAGTTACTGATGTACTCCCTCCATTTTTTTCTTCCAAACGATAATCATTATATTAAATAAAATAAAAGAGATACAACTATAAGAGTTGGGTTACAACAACCAACGGTTGAACTATTAAAATCTATCTTTCTCGCTATATCTAACCACAGAATCAGTGATACAATCCCAAATCTGTGTACTGAGTTAAATCTAGCTAATTTGACAGGATTGTAGCAACATCACTGAATACAGACAAGATTTACTAAAATTATGCAAAAACAAAAAGAACTATATCCTAACAAATGATAATCAGACTAAAATCTATCGAGACTAAAACTGTAGATCTGGCTCTGAGTCTCAGATCTTTTGTGCTTAGAAGTCCCAGATCTGTTGTCTTTTCATCCGTTGTTAATCTTTAAAACCCGTGTCCCTCTTCATCAACTGCCACAAACCCTAGATCTAGCCTCTCTCTATCAAATCTGTTGAAGAACAACTACCTAAAGCATAAAGAAAAGTGAAAACTAAAACTCTCAAACAAGAACTGTAACTTCCAAAAAATGGAAGAGACAGAGACTCTCAAATTGAGAGAGCATTACTTCCAACAAGAGAAGAGCAAAAACACCCCAAAGGGTGGGCTAATTTACAACTGAAAATAAAATGAAACCTCCCCCAACCTCCATTAATGAAGGAAGGGGGAGAGGAAGAAAGAAAATTTTTTGGGAGTTCTAGAGAGGAGGAGGAGAATCGGGGATAGAGTGAGAAAAGAAGCCATACAATTCCTGCATTAAAATTAAGAAAATAACTATTTAGCAATTAATTTGTGTGTTAAATATCTATTTTATCCATCATTAATTATTTTGAAATTATAATCAAGACTAGATGAAAAATTATTAGTATTATTTATTGAGGACAAAGTTGAGTAGTTCATCATTAATTTGTTTTGAAATTCTAACACGACCTATATTTTGAAATATTTTTCCAAACCTAAAATGACCTACATTAGGAAATGGAGTTGAAATGGAGGGAGTAACGGTTTGCTTCTGGAATCAGTAAAGTCGTCGCAATTAGGCATAGTTTATTTGTGTCAAGGGGTCAGATAAGTCTACAGCACTCGAAACTGAAATGGATATGCATGCGAATCTGCGCCAATTTTATTATAGAATACTTGAGATTTGTGTGTCACTTTTGAGTAATCAGTTTATCAAAATGTAGTACATAATACATGGCGCCATTGTAATGCTCGTCTCTTGAGAAATTCCTGCATAAGCTCAGGAAACGCCATTGACAGATTTTCCGCGAGTTAGATGATTTTGACTTTCATCCATTCTAGACTTGTTTAAACGTTGGAAGCAGATATAGCTCATTTTCTTACAGTTCAACGTATTGATACTTTTTCTAAGACGGGAGAAAAAACAAGTAAAACCAAGTCTGTTTTCAAGTTAATCGGAAGCCTTTTGTGTGGTAGTATTCCAATCTGGTTAGCATTATTTAAAACGAGTTGATTTGGGTGGGGGACGGGGAGAACGGACGGACTATTTTGTTATTTTTATATTTTTTAGGATTATTTTTATAATTTATTGAAATTATCATAATGTTTTTGGTTAAAACTAACGGAAATCTGTTAAATTTAACGGAAATTGGACCAATTGGGTAAAATTGACAAAAATTTTAAATAGTAAGGATAAATTGGCTAACCGAAAATCAATAAGAAAGAATTGACGATGAGCCCAAACCTTTAGATATGAACGTCAATTTTTCCATAACAAAGATATACACAACCCAATGGGAAGAAAGTGAAGACCACATTTGTATACCTCCAACAATAAATAAAGGCCTACCTATAAAAGGGGGGAAAGTATGGATTTTCCCGGGACAATTGCAAGAGACTGGATTTAGAACGCCGAATTTCCAACTTGTCTAAATTTTCAGCATTCATCATATTCAAGCTGTCAGGGTTTTGTTTCCTGATCTCTTCACTTGTAGTAGCTAACTGGGACATCAAAGCTACTAACTGATGCCTTACTGAATCACTTTCCAAAAGCATTGTAACAGTCGAAAAAAGTTTTTTTTTTTTCATTGGCCGTGGACATGGTGAAAATATTAGCTGAGTGAGAAATAGTGATTATTGTTAAGTTGAAAAAAGGGAAAAAGTGTAATACGCCAAAAAAAAATTGATAAGATTTCGTCCGAATTAACCAGTCTAATCTTAACATGTAAAAAATTGAATAAATGAATAAATAAAATCAAACATGCTATTCTAATGGCTTGCGAATGCGAAATTCCGGAACAAACCTTCTTGTTGTACAAGACAAATCGTACTGAAATTAACCTTCTTGTCCTTAAAGACATTCATTTGTTTTTTGATTATATAAAAGGTATTAAAGAAAAAAACAAACGTACGCTATTACTCTCAATTCACTCACCAGAATCTTAGACCTAATTTGTTTTTTTCTTTTTAGTATATTGAACAATGTCACCGAAAGGTCCAGGTCTCTTCTCCGGCTTCGGTCATAAAGCACGAGGTAATAGTTATGCCGAAATTAGCTATGTGTAGATATATGTGTGTGTGTGTGTGTTTTTTTTTTAAAAAAAAAAATTATTTCGGTGTCTCTTTAACGAGACAAAGCTTCTAACAAAAAGTTCGGATGTGCAGATATCTTGTATAAGGATTACAGTACCGAACACAAGGTCTCGGTGTCTACCGATACTTCTAACGGAGTGGTATGTTGATTCTTTTTTTTTTTTTTGGGGGGTTATTATGAATTGGTTTTAAAATTGATTTATATTGTATTTACGTTTTTATTAGTATTTCTCATTTGTGATGACGTTATTAGAAAATATAGGATGTTGCAAACGGTTTCTGATTTCCTAGTAAGGCTTTATTTTGAAGCACTTGATTTGTTTGTTGAAGAGTGTGCGAATAAAATTTTTTTTGCTTGAGCTGTTCGGCTGAATTACATTGTTGGCTTTCATAGTTATGATTTGGTCTTTAATGAATTCAATTGGTTTATTTATGACCCATATAAAGGACGACATTGTAGACTCTAATTTTTCTTTGTTGCTGCTTCAGTTTTTCGCTCTGACCCTTAATTATCTTGGAATGTATTTTTTTCGCCTTAATTCATTAGCTTATTTTTTCGAAAATTTGTAACCACGATCAGGGACTTACCTCCACTGTGTTGAAGAAGAATGGACTTTCTGGAGGTGAAGTTACATGTCGTTACAAGCACAAGAATGCTACTCTCGATACTAAAGTTGATATGGACTCAAGAGTAAGTGTTCTCACTTCAACATTAAATTCTGTTGCTACCTACATACTCCTTGTTGATCTTTGATTTTGGATTGATTAACGAAACTTATGATATTTTCCAATTTGGTTTTGTAGATTGCATCAACCATGACCGTGGTTGACATCTTACCATCCACAAGGGCAATTGCCACTCTGAAATTTCCTGAATATGATGCTGGCAAGGTTGTACTTTTGTAGTCTTGATTGAGCACAAATTGTATTGATTCTCCCTCCCATTAAGAGTTTTCGGTTTTTTGGTTTTTTGTGTAATTCGGAGTAAAAACTTGCCCTTTAATTTGTTGTAATGCAGGTTGAGGCTCAATATCTCCACGAGCATGCTAGTTTTACGGCATCTTGCGACCTGAACAAGTCTCCCAGCGTCAATGTTTCTGCAACAATTGGAACCCCTCTCATTGCATTTGGTACCGAAGCAAGTTACGCGACACGTTCTCAAGTACTTACAAAGTACAATGCTGGAGTTAGGCTCACAAAACCAAACTATGGTGTTTCAGCCATTCTGTAATGTCTCTCGAAAACATTGAACTACGAAAAAGCATTTGTTTAAAGTCCATACATTGATCTGAGGCTTGTTTTAATTCTTGTACAGACAGCAACAGGGAAGTAATACTTTTTTTTTTTTTTTGTAGGGCTGACAAAGGAGATACTATTAAGGCTTCCTGCTTTTGCCATCCTGATCAGCTAAAGAGAGGAACTATCGCGGGAGAGATGTCGCGGAAGCTGTCTTCCAAGGAGAATACGCTGACAATGGGGGGATCATATGCACTTGATTCTCAGACATTGGTCAAGGCAACGCTTAACAACCATGGACATCTTGGTGCCTTGGTTCAGCATGAGTTGAGTCCCAAGTCTTTCCTGATAATATCTGGATCATTCGACGCTTTGGCGATGGACAAAACCCCTAGGCTTGGTATGGCTGTGTCTCTTAGGCCTTGAAAGATATTCTAAATACCAACGGATTTATCTGATTATTATAATTTATAGAGGGATATGATTACTCTTGCTAGTCTCTTTTAGCTGCGCTCAGCTGGATAGTTTTTGGTCTTTTACATAGTTGTTTTTTTTTTTTTTTTTCCTGGCATCAGATCTTGTCTGTTCAAGTTAAATCAACTTAAATACAGCACTATTCCCTCCTTCTCAAAATGATTGTCTAGTTACTAATGGTGTCCAATTTTCTTACTGAAAATGATATCTGTTGTTAAATTTGCATGTTTTTATGGACTTGAGTTTGTTGTTTTGTGTAGAGGCCAAATAAGTCTCCTTGTTTATCAAATCTAAATGACTTTTAACATCTTATGGTTGATTTCGTCAAAGGGTATATATAGTAGTTATCATTATCATAGAATTATCGTTGGATTATCTTGGTGATTGATAATAAATTAATATAAGCTTCTTGTTTTTTTTTTTTTTTTGGAAAGGGGATAAGCTTCTTGTTGAATGCAAGATTTTCAAAACAAAATGTGTATTTTTCGAGTGTTCAGAAAGTGACTGATACTCTCTAATTGGGCATTGCTTCAGCCAAAAAAAAATTAGAATTATACTCTACCTTCCTAAATTGGAACCGTGAATATTCTATATATTGTGGAATTTATTTCTTTCCTACAGTGCAATTGTGCAAACAAACGATTGTTAAAAAAAAAAAAAAAAACCGTCGAAACTGTAAACTTAACAAGATCAAGTTGTATCAGTCGCTTCTTTCCTCCATTTATCCTGTAGTTTAACAGGAACAGCGCAAGTTTATCAAATGCTAAACTAAACCATGTCTCACATACAGCTTTAAAATAGACACTAGAAGATCAGGGAGATTGGAGAGGACAAATGATTCAATTTACTCCCTCCATTGTTTGAACAAGACTACTACTTTGGGACGGAAAGAAAATTTATATGGGCGTGTGGAAAACGAGAACCTGTGAAATCAAGTGTGCAGATCCTTACAAGGACGTCCGTCTAATTGTTATATGAATGAAGGAACTATAACGATCCAATGCCCAAAACATGGTAGCTATTTCATTCTGATGGCCACTGTGTTTGGCAGATTAAGGAGTATCATGTTTTATACCAAAAATTATAATACTCTTTCCGTCCCAAAATGATGATCGTTCTGAATGTTTTTTTGTTATTTTGCCCACCTGTAACCCAAACAAATTTCTCTGTTAGTCAAATCTAAATGATTTCCACAACTTTGTGGCTGGTTTGTCAAAAATCCGTAACCCCTTTCAATTTCAGAGGTCCAGTCTAAAAATCCAGGTGAAATGATAATAATTTAAAAGAAGCATCTTCTTGACTGCAAGTTTTTCCAACACAAAGATGAGAATGTACCAGTTGAATAAGAACAACTTCTAGATTTAGAGCTCTGCAACTCAATACTGAATTTCAACCGAAACACAAAAAGCAACTCAAAAATTTGCACTAGATCCTCACAGAAAAACAAAGAAAAGCTGATGCAAGTGTTGATTCATTAAAAAGCAGCAGCATGCATATATATATTAGAAAGCATACAAATTTGAATGAAAAGGTAAAATATTAGAAATATTAATCTCCAACCTGAATTTCATTTATTGGAGTAATTAAGCTGATGAACAAAGCTGAGGAGCAAAGGAAAACCACTTGAAACCACAGCTCCATTTCTCAGGCAACAAAGGGCATTTAGGCAGCCAATGCCAGCTCCTCCTGCTTACCTTGAAGTACAATATCTCAGGCCAAGTATAGCAGCAAATGCAAATTAATCCCTGATGCCAAAAGCAATAAACATGCTCATATTTATGGTAACAAACTCCCACAAATTTCCTGAACATCATTTCTGGCAATCTCTCAATTTCAACCCAATTCTTTTCTCCACTCAATTCCCACAATTTCATGCTCCTTGAAATCCCATTCCCTCCAATCCCTCCAATCAAATACAGCTTCTCATTCCCTCGATCATTGCTTGCCAGCATCTTAGCAAAAGCAAGTTCACCTGGAAGTTCAATCACTGATCTTCCCCAAATCCCACTCTCCAAATCAAAGCAAACAATCTGAAACGGCTCTGGAGTGATGAAATACAGAAGCCCTTGATACAGAACGCCTTCCTGATTGTACAGAGATTGACCAAACCCCTGAAACTGTTTCCAAGTATGGATTTTGGAGTCGTAAACAAGAGCGGTTTTCGACGATCCGAAAGAAGTCATCATCAAGAGGTTGTAACCACTGGAAGTGGATACAAAACTGAGGGACTCGTAACTTGATGGGATCTTCTTCGGGGATTTTACAACATCAATTGATGGAGGGAAAAGGTTTCTGACAACAAAAGATGAGGAATTGGTATGAGAAAAACAGAGGCGGCCATTGGAGATGGAGATCAAGACTGATGAAGAAGGTGCGGAGGTGTTCTTCAGTATGGGAGAGAAGTGAAGTGGCAAAGTCCGCCATGAATTCCGACCAGTATCGAACAGAGGACACTTGCTGCCGAATTGAGGGTGTGAAAGGACCAGAAAAGAAAACAGAGGAGTAGAAGAAGCAGAGTATTTGGAGACGAAAGCCGGGGAGAAAAGCAGGGATTGGAAGTGTTTGCTGGTTGTTCTGAGTGTCAAGAATGTTTTCAGGGGAAGAAATGAAAGCACGTGCTCGAGAATCTCCTCCGGCAACCGGCTCCATATCTCCGGATCCATTAATTTTCTGGCAAAAATTCGATCAGGGATTTCTCTGAAAATCTCTCCTTTATGATTTGGCGCTATCAAAAATCATAAAGATCAAGACCTGATCAAGAATACTATCTCTTTTGTCTTCCGTGAACTATACGTTCTATATTGCCCCTTGTCAGATAGGAGTTTGGTAATGGAAAAACAGGAGGATTTTCTTCTTTTTTTTTTGATTATTACGCTAAAGATTCAACTCATCGTAAAGCAGCTGATATGGTCGTTGCGTGGACTGTTTGAATGTGTGAACTGCTCTGTGTCATTGTATGTATGTAAAGAGTATAATTCTTTTTCCCATTAAAATTTTGGTTTATAGTATAGTTGAACTGGAATGGAAACATAGAAAGAAACATTTGACTGCGTCGAACAAATTGAAAAGTTTTGTCCAAAAGTCTTCCACGCGTTAAGAAATGTATAATTATCTGATTGGTTCTTTTTGAAATGGTTATTAAAGAACTGATAAGCAACCAGCAACTCGCTTGCATGCATCCGCCATGTGCATCTTATAAGCCTGCAAAATCTAGCACGTTTTGACAATATCTGCCATTCATTCCAGTCTAGGCATCACATAATTTGTTCGGCATCAAACTAAGTCAAAGTAGTAAGTAATTTGGATTTCTATCTTCCAATCACTTAGCAATGAGTGGGGATGACTTTTGGAACTTATATACTGATCTACGACGTGGGACAACTCTTGACGCCTCGACAAACTACTTCCTGGTATCTCATTTATAAAACAAAATTATAACACTAGATTTTAAATGTAAGACCAAAGAGAGTTTAGTTACATTTTGCCTACCAAAGATGAATTTTTAAGCCACACATTATATCCGGACTAATCAAACGCCTTATAGGCTTATATTGCCATGTTTGTCTTTTCATTTCGAAATGATTGTCTATTTTGAAAATTTATATTAATTAAAGTTGTACTAAATTAAAAATTCAAACCCTATAATATTTTCTTGGGACAGATAGTAGTAGTTTTGTTGAGAAAATGCTACTCAATACGATCCATTCATCTAGAGGCCCGTAACCTAACGCGTTGGTACAAAATAGAAGAAGAAAAAGGCAGGCCCATGAACGCCCATGATTTCAACGGCCCAAATAATATGCAGCCCATGAACGCCCATGATTTCTCATTTCCTTCGTGGTATACTTAGAAAAAGGTTTGCCGGAGAAATTCTGGTCATCTTTATTCAATTTTATCAAAAGAATCTTTTTTTTTGTTTCTTCACAGAAAATCTGAGGGATCTGATTGAACATTCTCGTTCGAACTGATCAACCTCCGTTTTTTTTTTTGTTTTTAGTAGGAAGTTGAGAGATTTGGTGGTGGTGATCAGATGAGTAAAGCAGAGACAGAGGATCGACGGAATAAGGATGATTTGAACCCTATTCCGCCGCCGTGGCCTCCTCGGGGACCGGACCGAGCTCAAACTGATAAGAAACTTTTGGGAATTTTGCTTTTCGGAGTAGTTGGCGCCATGGCCACCGTCGCAGCGGTATCTTCCCGCCTTCCCGTCTTTCTCAATTATTGTCATTTACTTACTTCTAGTTTTTCATTTAAGTTATTTCGCATGCTTCTTTCATTTAATTGTGCATCTCTGATTTCAGTCGTGCGATTCCGACGAGCTCTTTCTATGTATGCTATTTTTACCAAGTCGTTGTCGAAGTGTGGGATTTTCTTAACCGCGAAAATGGAATCTTATTTTTGGATTTTTAGCCAGGAAATGAATGACTGTGAACCAGCTATAGTAAGTTTTTGTTCTTGTTGATTGCTTGGTTGAAGCTTACTTTTGGAGAATGTAGATACCATGCATTGGTTGACCTAAGCTACAAACGGGATGAACTTATCAGAATAGATACTTATGCTAGTTGTCTCCCATTATATAAACTGCCTTTAATCTTCGTCGATGATAGTTGTTTCCCATTATATCTTAAGCTCGATGGACTAGTTTGGTTTTTGCATGTATGATTCTTGTTTAGGAAGATTGTTGATTGCGTCTTCTGTGATCCAGTTGGTAGGGACTAATCACCCACTTTGGGACTGTGTGGCAGGTTGCTCAATTGCGGAATTCAGTTGACTGGGTTTATTCTCAGGTAATTTTTGCTCTTTCTCGGAGATACCTTTGGTATTGCCAAATACTCTTAAGTTTTCACAAAAGTTTTCCTTTTACAGAAGAAAAGAATATTCTTCTTGTTAAACATCTAATATTTAACCAATGACTGTTGTAAAACGTTGGCTTTGATTGCCTCACATTGTTTATTGGAAACAATGGTTAAGGCTTCTTTAACTGTTTATTGATATGGCGACTTTGTCAAAAAGTTGAGCAGGTCGAAAGCATCATGGAAAAGTTCGTCTAATGGTTCTTTCAGGACGAGTTTTCAGGAGGAAGCATGGAAAAGATACAATCGCCGGATGCAGGAAGAGTATGAAGAAGAAATGGCGAGAGTGGTAAGTAGATCTTCACTACATTCTGACTTTCCAAGTCATTTCATCCCTTACAGATGTTAAGCATTTTCACTTTTTAAAACTTTTATTGTTTGCAACAAGATGTCAGCCTCAGTTTCTGCTGCTTAATGTTATTGCTAAATATGATACCACAGATCTTTCAGTGTGCTTGTCATTGACTTCCAGCTGAGTTTGTTTTTATCTCTGGTTTATTGTTACAGGTTGGACTGAAATTTTTACTTTTTCCAGGAGCGAATAAGGCGAATGCAAAGTGTCTTTAATAGAGAGAGAAGCAAGTACAAAAGAAGCTATGAGAGATGGGCACAAAATGATGATGGTACATATCACCAGCATTTTCAGAGGAATGACTGGTATTGGAAGGGCGACACGTCATTCAGGGATCAGGGGGATAATTTCAGGGAGGCTTCTCGACCCCCTCGAAATTATCCGTTATCACATCACTATTCTGTTTTGGGCCTTGAGAGGTAAGATGATTTGGAGTTCAGTCAGTGAAGTGACTTTACTTGTAAGCATTTATTGGTAACTGAAATTTCTCTCGAATATGTGAGTCTGTGATAATCGTAATCTGAGAATAAATGCAAATGAATATCTGCATTTCAATTAGAGTTGAGAAAAAGGACCTCTGTCTTAGAATTTGGTGCCATTTCCAACTTTACGCTCTGGCTGCAGTAGTATCTTAAAAATATTTGTTCTTTGTTATGTGTTTGTGAACTCTTCCATTGTCGCTTCGTACCATCTCCTCTAACAAACATATTATTTGAAGTTGGGAGGATGTTAGGGCAACTTAGCTTTAAATTGTCATTTAAATGTGTTGTCACAAATCAAACTACAATAAACTGGTAGCTATCCTAACAAAACAACTTGACGAAGGTGAAGACCTTTGCTTCTGAGAAAGGAACATTATGTATCTTGTGTTTCAAAATAAATCAGCATGTTGTTGTGTTTGAAAAAAAAAAATCAGCATGTTATTGTGTTTGGAAAAAAAAAAAAAGGAAAAAAAAAATCAGCATGTTGTTTATAATCAAGTTTGCATGTTTCATTTTGGTTTGCCTGTAACAGCAACATGTTTTTCCTGATTCGTTTGTGAGGATACAATATCTTTCCACAGGAATTCATTTCCTCTACTTCTGATACTTCTTTATGACAGTTTAATGATATCTTGGATCTTCTCTCTGAAACAGGTCGAGGACAAAGCCTTACACAGACGAAGAGATAAAGGTATTTGGATGCTTCTTTGTTATTCTTCTCCAACCTCTATGCATAATTGTTGGGGAGAATGTTCAGTTTTCCTTGGCAAAAGTTAAGTGATGCTTAGTATTCTTTAGATAATGAATCAAAGGGACAATCTTTTCTTTGTTTTGGGTAACTAGATCAGTTTAGGTAGATTATGTGGGGAGATGCTTTAAAATGTTTTTTTGTTCAGCTTACTCATTTTGTTTCATGTGATATGTACAGTCATTCATGCGATGCTTATGTTATAAAAAGAAACACATAGCTAGCTAGAAAAAACATAAGAGATGACTGCTTGTCTGTGAAGATGCTTAGATTTGGAAGCTTCCCATTTTTAATTCTTTGAAGCAATCTAAAGTTTACTGTTTCTTTTGTTTGCGAGAAAGCACGATCTCTTATACCATGTGATTGAGTAGCTGAGACATCCTTACATCAATTAAAGCTTATTAGCGATAGTCATTCTTCATCATACTGCTCATGCAGTACTTATCTTTATCCTCTATAATTGGTTCCGCGCTTCTCATATAATGGCACCTGATGTGATTTTGCCATGATGTGTGCTAATAAGAATTTCGAAAGATTGTCATAATGAATTTCCACTGCTTAAATGTGCATTGCTTTATTTGTTGTTTCCTTCAGCGTCGGCTGATTTTGTCCTCATTTCCGTTTGCATTGCAGTCGGCTTTTAGGGCAAAGGCATTGCAGTTCCATCCAGATCAGAACCAGAATAATAAAGGTGCAAATTCACACTATCATCAAATTGTTACTTCTAATTTTTGAACCTGCCTTCGGCTTCATAGAAAACCTTTCAACCTTCCTGGAACTTTTCTCCTGGCGGGTCTCGTTCTCCTTAACATCTCCGCTTTGACTGATTTTAGCATCTTTGCTGTGGCAGAGGTTGCTGAAGCTAAGTTTAGGGAAGTTATGACGGCGTACGAAGCTATCAAGGTAGAAAGAAAGCTACAATAAGGTGAGCTAATCAAAGATTAGAGTTTTGCATTTTCTAGTGGGGCTTCTGACTGGAGAGTAAATGTGAGATTCGCTGCAGATACAGTATGTACAATATTCTTCGAGAATAACACCGAGACTACTGACAAATACTACAGTACCCATAAAGTTTTTGTTATAATGGTAACTAGAGCAATGTAAAATGATTAGGAACACCTATATCCGTAGCAATCATTGTACCCTTACGAACATTCTAGTATGAATTGGATCCCATCTAATTATTTCAATAAACACTGCATCTTAGGCTCTTAGCCATCATACCCATGTGTGCTACATTCGGGAAAAAAAAAAAAAACATGTGTACTGTTCTTTAGTGTAGTGTCTCAAAGTGACGTCTTTACCAAAACGAAAGTAAAATCCAAGCCACAAATAACAAATTCGCTTCCGGAATCAGAAGGATTATAAGAGAATGGAAAGATTTTGATTATCTATTTATTTATTTCAAAAAAGATAGCTTTCACTCCAACTTTCTTCAAAAGTGGAAAATGGGGAGGAAGAAAGTCTTTTTGGAAATATTTGGCTTTTAGAAAGAACGGTTAGAAAAATTAGAAATAAAGAGAAAATGAGAGGGGGGAAAAAAATCAAAATAAGAAATGAGTAGATTATTTTTTAACCAATGACGAAAACAAGAACAATTATATTATAGATGTCGAAAATTTGCTATTTTGTTATATTTTTTGTAAGGTACTTTGGTGACTTTTCTTTGAACAATTTAGACAATAGATGTAGAATTCATTTGCTATTTTATTTTATTCTTGAAAGGAACTTTAGGACTTTTCTTTGATCCGAAAAAATAAAAAATATAAAAACTGAAATCATTCTCTAACATCTTAGAATTTATTATTTCAACAAATCCGATTTCCAATTTGCTAATTAACTAATCTGTTTATATGTACCAAATATCACTCGACCCCCACCACCACTCCCCGCCATGTATTATTTTTGTCATTTCTCCTAAATTACGAATATTAGCTGTTGCGATATTATCAAATTAGCCGTTGGAATACAGTGCCCAAACATCAACTGACCCACGTATTCTCTTGCTCCCCCACATTGTGAGCTGGAGGTGACTACCCAAAAGCAAGACTGACCAAGAAGCAATAAGTCTTTTATCGCCCAAAAGGGAAAAATACCCCCAGGAAAAAAAGGTCTTTATATTGAAGGTTGGTATTGGCTGTAATCTGTCCAGCTAAGTTCAGCAGTATTGAGGTGAGGATTCGATGCATTTGATTTCAAAGTTGGACCATAACGGAGATACCAATGCTAAGCAGAACCACCCCATACACTTATAACTCTAATCATAATTAAGAAGCTCAAATCATGCAAATTATTTACAAAGCAGCCAAAATAGAGGTCTCGCGCTACAATAGGGAAGAGAATGCGAAAAGAAACCCAAAGCTTTCGAGGCAAAAGTACGAGCAGTAGTAGAAAGACAAAAAGGACCTAGGTGCAAAAAATATGTCACATTTCACACTAGTTCATAAAAGCATTCGCTTTCCCCTAAACTTTTGAACATTGGATTGCAAATGCAGAAACAAACTTGAATGTGATGATTCAAAAGAAGGGCTTTAAAGTTTTTTGACGATTGCCCGTTTGCCCATGAAGCTCATTCGGAGGGAGGTGCCCTGTAATAGGCAGGAACAGTTGCAGGGAAAAACATTTGCCTGACGCCTTCAGCCTTGATAATGGGGAATATAATCCCTGAGGCACTCTGCAGATGTACACATGAAAATTAGAATGTTTACATTTCGAGATGGGAAATTGTTCACATGGGGGCAAGGGTTTAAAGTGAAACAATGAGATACTTGCCGAGATCAATCTGGCCCCAATCCACATGCGCTTGGGTGATGGAAACGGAAGTAACAAGCGACCAACTCCATATATGGCAACAGCAAAGAAATGGCACACCAAGCTCAACGGCCTAGGATTTAAACCAGAAAGCAAAGATACTGGTCCATTTGAGAAAACACCTCCAAGACTCAAATAGTCAAAGCATGCTTGGCGCATTTCCTTTCTTGCTTGATCAGTAGAGGAACAGAAAACCTTGTATAGGGCACCTGCCAGTGTGTTGATTGTGGATGCCACCGGCTGCAAATGACATTGGACAGGATAAGTGAACAATCCACAAAAGTTAAGGAAACACCCAATAACTTAAGTACAAGATAGATTGGACAAAAACTAATGAGTTAAAAATCAGTAGAGCGTCAAAACTCAACTAAGAAAGGAGATATTTGTCATGACCGAAACTGACTGGCAATCTGGCATGCATAGCATCAATTCCTAGCTAAACATAATTAATAGCTCCAGTGACCTATCAAAATGCACGATGATGACATACCTTGCGTAAGGTGTAGAATGATTCTAGGTACTTGCATAAGGTAGGTGCGTCATTCAAATCAACAAGTGGTCTAAGAAGATCTCGGAGCACAACAATATCAGAAAGAGCGACCGTCATTCCTCCACCAGTTAATGGGTGCCTCATGTTGAACGCATCTCCCATGAGCAGTGCACCAGGAGTAGGATGGGGAGCAGCTGGCATGCTTCTGTTGGGCATTGTCCTGATGTTTCCTTTATCCACTGCATTGATGAAAGCATCATGCAATTCGGGAGGAACCTACAGCAACCATGGTGAGGCGATATGGCAATTAGAGACTCAGATTGAATTACTTACGGGCGATAATTTGACTTAAACCTTTAAGCTTAATCAAGGTAACACGAAAGCATTTTTAAATAAAGTCCTAGGATTACCTGTGGAGCCACTGTAGTCTTTAGATATTTTGCCATTTCTCCATTAGAAATAGAGGGTACCTTCTGACCGGGTACATCAACAAGGCATCGAATCTCCGTGCTGCTGATTGGATAGAATAAGATAGGTGAAGGGTCTGCTAGGACAACGTGGCCATGATTTGCAAAGGGGAGATCACAGTTTTCCAAAACCAAGCCAACAAAACAAGAAGGCACGTCTACCTGCAGAAAACAATATTTAAGATATGTTCATGAAAAAATTTAGGCAATCTCAATAAAATGGTATTCACGGAAAATGACAACGTCAGCTACCTTGAGCTAACAATAAATTGATTAGTCATCCTCACCTTTGGATCACAGAGGGAGCGACGCAAGTTTGAAAAGCAACCATCACATACTACTGTTAGAGGTGCATAAGCAGTCAATTCTTCACCAGATTTTGTCTTGTACTGAACACCTCTAATAGTTCCTTTGTCTTCAAGAAGAGAAGTCACAGTTCCTTGCTCCAAACGAACACTGTTCAAATGGAAAATCAAAATCACCATCGTCAATCAGAAAAAATCCCCATATCAAACAAAGATCTACCATATTTTCTCAAACAACAAGTAAGACTGTAAGGCACAGCAAATATACAATTCTACCCAACAATAATTACACCAAATAAGACACACAGAAACTCCCATCTCTGAATGGGACAACAGTAAATAACACAGTAAACAGCACAGCAATTAGCGGAACAAGCAGAAGTAATACTTTGGAAGAGTTGCAGCTTTCTCTCGCATCCGTTGAATGAATCGGCCATTGTGAAAGCTTCTTCCAGCGACATCAGAGTGAAACTTTTCCAAAGGATATGAAAGCCGAGTCTTTTTACCATCCTTGAAAAGAGCATATCCAAAGACTCGCTGAGCATCAATTCCCTCCACACAATCTGCAATGATTAGGCAAGAAATTGTTCAATAAATTCCACTAAAATCAGCAGCAAAGTTTTCTTCATCATAGTTTTTAAGATTCAGTACTAAACAGTGGACCCTATTGAAACAAAGGGCCGCCCAACAGTGTCACTAAATTTAAATCAAAAATAGCTTTTTTTTCCCATGGTAGACTACCAAACTTTTACCTTCCAGTCCTAATTCAATCAATTTAAGGTAGCCACCAGGTTGTAGGAGCTCTCCGACGATCCGGTCAGGTTCTGTCAAATCTCTTTCAATTACATGCACCCGGCGTCCATCCTGCAAGTGTAGGCTCAAACATTAATTCACATCAAGAAACACACATATGCTATATGTAATATCTCGCTAATTTTAAAAACAAATCAACAAGCTAATTACTCTGCATTTTTTAAAATATTTTCTGTTATGTATCAGATCAGTATTGGTGGTTGAACCTGCATTTTAACTTTCGCTTATGCTTACGTGATATTGATGCATACATGCATCCAAAAAAATTGTAAATTATTAAGAACTCAGTATAATCCTCCAAAAAATGGCTGACTAACCAATTTCTGCCGAACACGATAAAGGAAAAAACACACAGACACACTCAAACATTTTATCTAAGCACCAAACAAGATACAGAAAAGGAACAACGCATAATTGTGTCCGTTAATTGTCGTACCTTTCCAAGAGTGTGAGCGAGAGCGGCACCGGCGACGCCAGCGCCAACGATGATGACATCGGCATCAACGTCGGCGCTGTTTTCGGATCTGCATTTCCCGTCAATGCTGGTAGTGGTGGTGCTACTGTGAGTCTCCTCCTCCTCTGCCGCCGCAACTCTCCGACGAGCGTAAATCCCGTAGACGGCGACGAAACCTAACGCCAGCGCCAGAAAAATCTCCCAGAGTTGCTGATCCATCGCCTTAACCACAATGCCGGAGAATCAACGACGTTAAAACGGCGCCGCTGGCTCTCCCCACTTCCTCAATCCTCCGCACAAATGTGCTTCCCCTGTCTTTTTCTGTTTCTGTTTCTCTCTCTCTCTCTCTGAAAGTTCAAAACAAGAACACAGTTTTCGTGGATTTTATAATAAATTTGTTTAAACGGTCCCTAGAAAATAGAAAAAGTTATTCCACCACTATACTAGTGTGTGAGTGTGTGCTTCGCTGGCGGCCTGGCGGGGCTTCTCGTTCGTATTCGGTCACGGTAAGACCCGAGCCAAGTGTGCGGGTTTGTTGTTTGCTGAGTTGTGACCACGAGACGTTTCTGGGACTTTTTATTATGGTTCTTATGCCACTCTGCCTTTCTTTGTAGGCTCCACCTACCTTACAAGGAAGATTTCATTATTGATGGCTTTTCAATTTCCCCCTTAATTGGTAGTGATAGAAAAGAAATTTATTTCTCCGTAAAAAAATAATGGTCCAGTTTATATTCTATTCCATTTTATACACAATAGCATATCTAGAAATTGTAATATAGATAGCGGCAAAATGATTTTTTTTTCCATTTCAAAATTATTGTACGATTTAGATTTTTACTCATCTAGTTTTTATTCTATTCTATTTTTTTATACTCCCTCAATCGCAAAATTATTATCCACTTTAGATTTTCATTATTTGTTCAAATTGTAATTAAAATAAAAATTCATACTGAACAATAATTTTGGAATAGAGGGAGTACAATAGAGTGACATATCCATAAATGATAATATACATGTGCAAAATGATATTCTTTCCATTCCGAAATTATTTGTACAGTTTGGATTTTCATGTTCAAATTGTACAAAAAAAAAAGTGAAAATCAAAACTGGACAATAATATTAAAATAGAGAGAGCATATTTTTTTACTCCCTTTGTTCTAAAATTATTGTCACGGGTTAGATCTTCACTTCTAATACAATAATAAGGGCAAAATTGGGCTTGTATGGCGAACTCTTATTTTTCATTTTTGTCTTGAACATAAAATCTAATGCACCATCCAAATAATTTTTTTTTCCAGCGAAAATAGCCGGAATCCGACTAGCGGCGATATGGTGACGGAGGTGGGCGGTCCTGCGGCGGAGATGGTCCGATAGTGATAAAAAATAATATTATTTTAATTAAAAAAATTTATCTAAATAACTTTTTAAAGTTTCTGTCAAAATACCTTTTAAATGACATATCAAACTCAAACAAAAATCTAAACAAAAAATGAAAACAAACCATCATTCATGCAAGCTAATTATTGAATTTTTGAACTGTAAAAATTACACTCTCCTTGAGTATAAGGAGAGAGGGATCACCATCCGTGCTAGTCCCTGTCTCCGCTACTGATACAATTGAAACTAACGTTTTATAATTATGCTCCCATTGCATATACATCCTAGCCACCGATGATATTTAGTTAGTACAATTCAACCACGTCTTGAGCTGCCAATCATGACCTGACTTTTTGGATATGTTCGCATGAATTATACTTGATTTTTCGAGATGCAGAAGATATTGAAAATATAAAGAAAAAAAAATTTATTGCAATGGGATATTCGAAGCTTCAAATTTACTCACCTAGATGTGTTGGCCTCCATTGGCAAAAACCTACCAAAAAAAAAAAAAAAAAGAAAGAAAAGAAGAGAAACTTATTAGAGTGTGCGCAACACAATTTCAAAAGCACCACAAAAGAAGTTAGTAATTCTGGTGTTGTGGACTAGCGATGGCCATGAAGAAGTTAGTGGTGTGTATTGGGCGATATTTTCAGGTATTAAAGTAATTCTTGAATAGAATTTGAGTTGTAGAATTAAAACCTGTATATAGAGATTTTATATATTTTGTTGCTCCCTCTATTCCAAAATTATTGTTCAGTTTGATATTTCACTTTTAGTATAATTTAAACTAAAAATGAAAACCCAAACTGGACAATAATTTTGGGACAGAGAGAGTATTTCGTTATTTGATTTCTTTGATGCCGAGGAATTCAGGAGAGTTTTAAGTTTGCATACCCACCAGTAACAATGCAGAAATCCTTTTTTTAAGTTTATTGCATTTTTTTGCTTGTACTCTCTTCTTATGAATGTTTAACTAGAGTTTTTAAATCACTATGAAGTAAGTTAAGGAATCAAAAGCTACAGAAGATGAAAGTATAGCGTTCATTTCGCCTCATTTTATTAGGTTTTTTTTTTTCTTTCTAAAACTAAAACAATACAATGAAGAAAGAATTCATCTTTTTTTATTTATTGAAGAAGGAAAAGTATTACTTTAAACAAAACACAACAAAATTAAACATCAGTCCAAATTGCATATCACTTTTAGAAGTTTGAGCCCTAGAGCTAGAAGCAATTTTTGTCCTTTGGCCCCTTTTGCTATGGAACTTGATCACGTGACATGATGGAATCCTTGATCGATTGATTAACTGTTATTAGTACGTATTAGTTAAAGGGCTGATCTGATTAGTGGGTAAAGAACTGAAAATGCAGGTTTTGGATTTGCATCTTATTTCTCTGAATAAATCGATGGCTGTGTATAATTTAGTAATCGGGATTAAGCAGACACCAGAGCCAGAATATCCGGGGTGACATGATTTTCCTTTTCTTTCAGTACAAATATTTTACTACTATAAAACTTTTTTTAATTATATTCTTCTTCTATTAAAAAAACTGGAACAGACTTCAAATTTAGATCTGCGCTAAAGTAATTTGTCCGACGTTTTTCTTCATTTTATCTCTTGCTCTATCATATGAGAGGTTTTGAATTATATCGATCCTCACCTGCTAGAATTATTAATTACCTCCTCAATCCTAAAATTATTGTCCAGTTTGAAATTTCACTTTTAGTACAATTTAAACTCGAAATAAAAACTTAAATTGTACAATAATTATGGGACGGAGAAAGTACATTTCGTGGTTGAACGACTCTAATTTAGTCGTGTTTTCAACACTGAATTAACTCCGAAGATGGATCATACAGTCTTCAATTAAAAGCCCCTTCAAGTCGAGGGCCAAACAATCCAAACATGGTACATGCCGATGATCTTGTGAAAACATCACATATTCTAATTACGTGTGCATGTGACTATAACTAAATAATTAATATCTCCGAAATATTAACACAAAGCTCAAGATTTGAACGCTGACTGAAGCATACTCGACTAGTGGACTTACTTCTTCAATTTGCTGGCTTGCGACTACTAGCATGTATAGCCAAGCCAGCCAAGTTAGTTTTAGTTTCACCTTTCTTTCGGCCTTTCTTTTTTTTTTTTTTTTTTTACAGACTACGGGAAACCATCACTGGATCGAAGAAGAGGAAGAGAGGATAACAATTTCATGACTTGTTATATATGTCTAGGTAGACAATGAAATAGTTACGTCATTATTAATTGTAGTCCTTATGTATCAGAAAAACAGTTAGAATTTTTTTTATGGCTAGTCGTTGATTATTAATTTAATAGGTTTCGCAAGAGACAATATGATCACGATAATCTATGGACTTGAAGGTCCCCGAATGAAATTAGGTCATGGTTTCATCGAATAGTTTAGACCATGTTGACAACCATTGAGAGACGCTCTCAAAAAACAAAAAGGAATAACAAAATGTAATTAATCCTACATGTATGATTGAAAATGTGTTGTAATCCACTGCATGGAGAATAATGATTAATGTTAAAACTATGAGAACTGTATAGCTGGTGGACGCGATTGTCTGGGTTAAATTTCCGGAACCACCCGCCGAATATTGTTAATCAAAGAACAAGAAAATTAATGTGGACTATGATTTAGCATATAGACGCACAAATTGAACTACTATATGCCTAACAATTAGTTTTCTAATTGGATATTAACAAAGGTATTTGAGTTAGGCAGCGGCAGGAGCAAATACAAATCAAAACCTATATCAAATCATTTTTAAAAAGGCAAAACAAAAGAGAAGAAGATGCTGATTATAATGATTACAAAGCATGTTGTGATTTAAACAGAAAAGAAATGCTTATGAGGGTGGGTACGTGCGTCAAAAGAAATTATGATAAACTATAACAATAAATTAAATCAATTGGTTTAGTGGAATAGATACATTGGTACGTATTATTAAGTAGGGTAGTTCCCCTTTTGGGTAGGGTACGTCAGTATACATGATGTGTATAACATCTGTGTTTTCCGTGATTAATCATTGATCTCTCTCTTATATATGCTTTTCTCTCATCTTCCTCTAATTAATTTAAGTCAATCATGCATGTGACAATCAAAATCAGTTAATTTTGTACTATCCATTGACACGCTTACAATTCAACGAATACATTTAAGTTGTACTGCGCATCTTCTGATAGCTAGCAATGTCCCATTTTCGAGTTCCACTGCCATTTAGCACAAATGATCGAATTGTATCAACTAATATCCTAGCATGCATTTGAAGTCGACGATTTGAAAAATGGTTTTCAGGTACGTTGCGATCCCACAATTTGTTAAAATCTTTGTTGATGACAAGCTTAATATGAAGCATTTTGTCCATGCCCACCAATACATAGTAATCAATTCTATTGATGGTTGTAGTGGAGCATGTGTAGTGGGAGTATAATTGAGGGGTTTGATCCGCGTACACTTGTAATAATATTGTTAGTTCTTAATTAAGCTTTCGAGTTAGGGCCAGGATGAGGTATACAAATAACAAATCATTCTTCTAAGCATCTTTTTCTTGATTCGGATGTTTTTGGAATCTACTTAAGAAGGATTGAAAGGGATAGCAGCTAAAGTGTACGTGTAAAAAACCTTGCTCGCGTTTGTTTTGTTTAGTAAAAAGATTAAGCAGGAGTTTTACTTGCTTTTTTGGTGAACTTAATCTGAGTTTTGCTTGGTCAACAATGAGTGAACTCAATAGAGGGTTCTAGAGGAATTGGAAGGAATCAAGGAATCAGCAAAAATACTCTTTTGCTGTTGGATTTTTCAGGAATCAAGTCTAGGATTTCAAAATGCCTCAAAATGCGTTATAATAAAGACCGAAGGGAGTAGTTAAGAAAGGTGAAGCAAATCGTATATGTTATATTTTGCTTTCATATTTCCCATGTGGACAAGTCCGATTTGAAGTTGGTTTTGATAATTCTTTGACGAGAAAAGCCTGAAAATTCTATTGAAGACGACTTTTGAACTGTGTGCATTTGGTGTCAAATACTCTGTCTGTCTCAAAATTATTATTTTACTTAGAATGTTATTTTTAACACAATTTGAACTAAAAATAAAAAAACAATATTTTGGGATTGAGAGAGCATTTTAGTCCAATTGTTTTGTCCCCTTAAGAAAAGACGAATATCTTCCCTTGATATGTACATTTTTTCAGTAGCTAGCATTACATATAATTTTAGAAAAATCTATGTTTGTTTGATTTTTTAATAGTTTCTTAAAATTAATTTATTAATAATTTATTGTTATTTTTCCAATACATTTCTAATACAAAAAATACCTTAAAACACATATTAAAAAAAAATCCAAACATACCATCCACTGTGGTTTAGCGTAGCGGTAGCCCCTTAAACAACTATCCAAAAATAATTGTGATTTGTGAGTGTGTGACCCTAATCGTCAAGGAAGAAAAGTGACCACACCAGTTTGGGTAGCCTCACAAGATGACCTACCCACCCCCAAAATGGAGCATATTGGCCCTTCTACGTAGGACACAAAATTGGTCCATATACATTACGAAGTCAGTTCATTTTCGCATCGTCAGCAACACGTGATTGCACTGCTAGTCACGAAAGATATGAATAGAGTGATGATTGGTTTTTGTTGAAGATATATGGATATAGTGCGTATTCGGTGTTCAAAATCACTGTTTTAAATCAAGTTAGATGAATTTTTATTACAAGACTGACTAGTGATTTTTTCTTCACGTATTTTAATTATTATTGTCAAGATTCGAATTGTGATCGCGTATAGTTAAACTAGTAGGACAATATTTATAACACGAATCAAATTGTTTGTTGAATGATTGAACTATGATAGTGCAAGCACGATAGAGTAAAATGTTCTGTTAAGATTTACTTGGGACAACAAGCGTACAAACACCAGTGCAATGAAACACATGAAATTTTTCGGTCATCATTTGGGGAAAGGATTTGGAATGGACCAGTATGGTACCCAAAGGACAGGACCACTATCATGCCCATGGAACGAGATGCGTCAATCGTTACGTTCTGTCTACACTACACTCCGTACTACACATCATAATACAATCTTCATTAACCACATAAAAGATCCTTCAATACTTATGAGAAAAATTTACAAAATATGCATTTCCGGGGACGAATCTAAACCCAACTTAGCTAACAAGTCAAACGCAATAAGAGTTTACTAGCCACTGCTTATTATTTATTAAAGTAGATAGAGTTGGAAGTCTGCCAAAAACATTGCTAGTTGTAATGACGTAATCTCGAATTCTTCGCCATTTAGTTGACTGCTTTCAAAACTATCCATTTGCAATTGAATGTATCCAGAGTTTTAAGAATCAAAATCCATCTAGAATGAATTCGTGGAGGTCAATCATATATTTAGACAAGTCAAGTTTGTTACCGATTACTACTATTTTGGTTTGTTAGTAGTCACTCTTCTGGGTGACTTGATGCTCCTACAACTGTTGTGGTCGGAACATGTCATTGTCGATATTTCTTATCCATGTAATATTTTGATTTAATTTTGTAAGACTATTGCCTCTTTATTGGTAAAAAAAAAAAAGAAGAAAAAAGAAAATCTAATCTAGATTCTAGAATGCGGGGATGGTTTTATATGATGATCTTATGGACGATTTTGTTAGAATAATAAACAGGAAACAGAAAACAACGTGAATTTTGAACTGCGCAAACACTTTTGATAAATTTTTGGAAGCCCAACCTCAAAGCCCACTAAAATCCGTGAGCCCGTGTTAACTTCAAAAAACGACAGCGTTTACTTCTAACGTCGTCTTCCCCAACAAAATTACTCTGCGAACCAATCACTCACTGTTGAGGAAGAAAGAACAGAAAATGAAGTGGGAATGCGCTGACGTAAGCTTATGGAAGGCGGCTCTCTCGTCTTACAAATCCACAATCGAAACCTTAAACAAACCGAACCTGATTTCCCTCGATGATTTCTACACGAAGGAGCTTCCGCTGATTATAAACCAAAGAAACCCCAAACCTTACATTCTCACCGACGAACTCTCCAAGCTGATGCAGTGGAAGCTCACAAGGGGGAAATGGAGGCCGAGGCTTTTGGATTTCGTTTCCTCTCTGGACGACGACGTCGTGAAATCAGCATCCCAGAAAGCGTTTGACTCTTTGCCGGATATTTCTAAGGCTGTCAAGGAGTTGACTGTTTTGAAAGGTGTAGGCCCCGCCACTGCTTCAGCGATTCTCGCTGCTTATGCTCCTCATGTTGCTCCCTTCATGTCCGACGAGGTAAACTCTGTTTTGGTCTTTCAGTTGATTTTCCCTAAAGAAGAGATTTTTTAGGAACCCTACAGTCCAATGGAAGTCACGAATAAATTTTTGTCATTGGTGATCTTAATGTGATTTTTTTTTTTAATTAGGCTATGGAAGCAGCGATTGGTAACTCGAAAGATTATACATTGAAGAGTTATCTGATCTTCGTGGAGGAGTTAAAAGCCAAAGCAATGGTTGGTTATGAACTTATGACATATGTATATATTCTGTTTCTACTATGTACATTTTCTTTCTGGAGTTTCATTTGAGTGATCTTATTACTGCTTTGCACCTGCCTTGTGTATTAATAATTCGTTCACCTGATTTCTTAATAATACGTAGATAGCTTTAAGAATTTTTAACTGAAATTTCTATTCATATAATGAGTTGTTGCATTTGCCTGTCTGCGATTAAATTTTCATTTTCGTATGATCGTCTTGGTAATGGTGGATATGATTTTCAAAGATCTTCACAATTGATTGTCATGTTAGGATTTAGCTCCTGTAGAGCATATTGGCGTATTGATTTCAACTTTAGATATGATTTAAGCCTGTGAGCAAAGCTGTGGAAAACCATCAATTTAAATGGAAAAAAAAAAATGAACATTGTTAGTTGTTACTCCCTTTCTTGCTTTTTAGGGCCTCATTTTGGACACTGCATTAGATGTCAATACTTGAAAAGTCCTTCCAAATACGTTGGTGAAGAATATTTGAAATGTAATGAAACAATGAGTTTGCATTACTTTCTTTCCATTGCATTGTGATCTTGAGTGATTCAAATTTTCCTGAACTCTTTCACAGGAGCTGACAACAGAGGAGGACCCATTCACACCATCAGATGTTGAGAGGGCCTTGTGGAGTTCTGCGATAGCAGCCAGATCAAAACCATCCTCAGCCGAACCAGATGAGTCCAATTCAGACAAGAACACAAAAAGGAAAAGGAAGCGATGATATGGGAGTTTTCTTATTTGATAACAACTACTGATCCACTAGCCTGTAAGTTGAAAGTAGGATTTTGTTTGACAATGTGATTTTCAGCCTAGGCTAGATGTAGTACAGTCTATGCAGTTGTAAATTGCCTCCGTTCTGAGCAGATGGTTCCATTTTCTTGATCTTGCTGACCTCAGTTTTGTTACATAGAAGAGGTCATGTGTGCTTACTGAGCAACAAAATTCCATCCTGGTGATCTAGTGAATACTGAATACCATCATGTATAATCTGCTCAATGGTTTTTAATCTAGTGTTTAATTTTGTGCCTTGTTAACATTTATTGTGATCATCATCCACTAATCTATGAGCAGCTGACTGTTATGGGTTTCGGGATACTTGAAGGTTGCTAATTTGATGATAATTGTATGATACATTGTGCATAATGTAAAGGATAGTTGGCAGACTACTTAACACTCCCAAAGAAACTGGGGTTCCGGGTTCATAACCTCTGGAGACAGTGGGATTGTTCAGTTATGTGAGGACTATGGATTACTGTAGTCGTTTAGCTTGATCTGATGGCTGATGCTATCTACAGTTTGTAGTTTGGTACCAAGTTTCCAGTCACCATTAACTTTGGGGGCTATATATTGTCTATTTTCGGATGGACGGCCGGCTGAGTAGATGATAAACTTTGTTGTTGTAGCCTATGTAGAGTTTAGTCTACCCTAAATAAAGTTTGGTATGAGCCGGCAAAATCTCTCTAGCCCTCACGGGAGACATGCCAACCCCTCGGACCAAAACCAATTTCAAAGCAATCTTTGTACCTTTGGCTTCCTACTTTCATATATAGATACAAAAGTAAAAAAAATAAAGTTCAGCCTATTAACGATTTCTGAAAAAAAATATTATGCTCCCATTTTCTTTTGAAGAATGCCAATTTTGTCATCTAATCTGTAACAAGTATAGTAAAGTAGAAGAAAGGACATAAAAGAAAACGGCAAACTTGCATTGCTCTTCACTCTCTAATTTAAAAATGTTTCGGATAGCATTTTCTTTTAAACTTCCCTTTACTTTGTGTTGGCAGTTGAGAATTTCATTATGAAATTGTTTCTTTAAATTAGTTATGATAAAACAAATCTGATCTTTAAAATGGTGTCTTAGTCTACGAAATAAGTTTGTCCGCTCTATCATTTTTGTTCCCGTTTGTATTCAAATTTCGATTTGAAATTTCAATCATGATAAAATAAAACCAACATGAAAAGATAGGAAGGAGGTTTCTGTTTTGGGACGGAGGGGTTGACTAAATAACGTAGTAAAAATCCCCCAAGTTATCAAGTTTCCTTAAAATATTCTCAGTTCTGTGCCTGTATCGAATTATCTTGATTGGATTACGTTGGAATTAACCAAATTAGTACCGAAGGATACGACACACACGTTCGGAGCACTCCCGCGCCAGCTCGGAGCTTACCAAGTTTACCTGGCCCAAATGCTGATTTGCTGATGCGTTCGCCGCCACTCTCCGGTGAAAGCAACCCTTTTTGCGCGACGGTTCCCGCGCAAATTCCTTGCTTTGGCGACCAGCTACTCGGAATCATTCACCCCTTTTCTTAAAGTTTAATTCTTTGATTCGTTCATTCATTTGATCTACATGGACCGAAAGTATCGCCGGAGCCCTAGATCGTCTCCGCTTCTTCCGAAAAAGCACGGTGGTGTCGGTGGTGATGAGTTTCACGATGGCGGTGGCTTTGAAGTCGACGGGGCATCCTTTTCCGGCGCTGTTTTTAATCTTTCCACCACAATTGTGGGAGCTGGAATCATGGCCCTCCCCGAGACGCTGAAACAATTGGGGATGATTCCGGGCTTGATTTTCATTATTCTGGCCGGGATATTGACGGAGAAGTCAATTGAGATCATTTTACGGTTCAGCAGAGCGTCCAAGACCACCTCCTACTCTGGTCTCGCTTCTGATGCTTTCGGAGGCGCTGGTCGGACTTTGCTCCAATCCTGCATTGTGATCAATAATGTCGGCACTCTGGTGGTTTATATGATTATCATAGGTATTCATCTTAAAGCAGCTATCTTTCTTCCTTGTATTAATCTGTTGCCAATTGTTCTGTTGCAAATTGTTTAGCGTGTTTTGTTGTTTAGCTTTATCTCATCTTGATTCCGCTTTATTTCTGGTGCTGAATTTTTCGCTTATGAGGGCAACTGTTGTATCTTTTTTATGCCTTCAATATGTCGTGGCAGGTGATATTGGTATGCTGAGTTTGACTTCATTTGGTGAATGATAAGTAGGCATACCCAATATATGGGCATGTATGCAGAATGCTTCCTGTGATGTTTGAGTTTGGGAAATAACATAGAAATAGAGACTTATAATGTAGCTCATGAAGATGCATGAGTCACTGAAATTTAAATGATTTTGTTAATGATAGTAATGCTGGTATATCCTGAGAAATTGTTGAGCGTGGATGTGTGATTATGTGCATGGTTGCAGGTGATGTATTATCAGGCTCTTTCTCAGAAGGAGTGCATCATTCAGGTGTATTGGAAGAATGGTTTGGTCAATATTGGTGGACGAGGCGATCTTCCTTGCTTCTTCTAACAACCATTTTTGTTTTTGCTCCTCTCATATCCTTCAAGCGTGTTGGTGAGCATCCTCGTGGTCTTCTGTTTTTTTCCCCTTCTCACCCGTCCATTAAATCATTTGTTCTTGTACTTTCTTCTCAACTAAAAAAAGCTTCTTGAAATTTACCTGTTGTTTTATTGATCAAGTATCTGACAGTGACCAAATTTAAGCCCAAAATCTCAAATATATGCCATTCCCATCTAGTAAATCTATTATGGCTTGGCATGGTACCTAGAAAAGGTTGTCTTGGGAGTGTCGATCACCTATGGTCCTTCATTCCTGGATGTCTGGTCAAGTCTTAAGCTAAATGTTTAGGGACCAGCTGGCTCTGCATTTGCATTGCATATTCTCCCTGTCAAGATTTGTATTTCGGCTTTACCAAATCGTTGAGCCTTCATGACGCAGCACCAAACGTGGTGGTTAAGAAAACCAGAACTTAGGCTGACTAAAGAATAGTATGTAGCGGAAAACTAAAAGAATCTGTAGGGAAACAAAGTTGTCGCAGGAAGAGAGAAGAAAACAGTAGGAAAAGAGAAGAAAACCTAAGAATCACTCTTAGGGCCCTTTGGCATCAGACCGCAGGATTCCTAGGCATCACACCAAGGGTTTACTTGAGTCACACAACTATTGCAAAGCAAAGCTTATCGCAGGAATTTTTATTAATCTGATAACTGTCTAAAACCTTCAAACGAGGTACATATATATAGGCCTAAAAAACTATAAAATAGGAGATTAAGTCTTAGTTTCCTAAAACTAAATTCCTGAAACGACCTAAAGCTTAACCTGTAAGGAAATAAACTAAATACCAATAATAGGGAACCAGTACTCCAGAAGAATCCTGCGACATAGCAAAATTACTGAAGTACCCTTAATCTAAAATACTGAAAATTAAACTTATTCCTGCTTTTTAAAACCACTTATGAAGATTAATCTAACCAAAGTTCTAACACTTTGGTTTCCTCCTCGGATCATGATGATCCTGGGCATATATATGAAAGAACCTACTGATAGGGTTCTTCTACCATTCCTTGTCCCCATTATTCTCCCCTGGTTCGAAAAAACTCGTCCTTGAGTTCTAAAATGTGAGAGAATGAAGAACCCAACAATCTGAAACATAAGCCATGACACTGCAGCATATTCACCATGAGACAACTTAGTGCGCCCAAATGTAGGTATAAGAGTATACATTTGGAATCTGCTTGCTGGTTTGTTGTCATAATCCTCTCCAAGAATGAAATCAATTTTCGGAATTCCAGGATCATAAACTTTTGAATGGCATATCTCTAAAGCTTGATTCAACTTCATAAGAATTTCATTGACACTTGTAGCAAGATTTCCACGCATCATTTCAGTTGACTCCTCACACGAACCAGAATCTCCCTCCAACGTAGAATGTAGAATATTCCTCAGTGGGGCACCTCCTTTAGCTACTTCCCCTTGTTTCTCATCAGGATTGAGAAGTGGTACTTCTTTTGGTTTATCATCAAACTCATCCAGTTTACAAGTCTCTGTCGGTTCTGTTATTTCATTGAGCACAGTACCCCGAATTTGAGGTTCCGTCAGATTACTTCCTTGAACTATAGGGTTTTCCAAGAACTTCAATGTAGAACTCTGAACCTCAATGTGTTCTATTGTATCCTGAGCCACAAGGTCCAGCGAGCTACTGTCTTGAACTAAATAAACAATAGGTTCATCCTTGAACGTTTCCGCAAACTCAACCACATTTTGATTCTGAACAGCCTCCCTGCACACATCCTCAGCAATGCTAATGAAAGTATGTGTGAGTCCTGAAAAATCAGGGGGTTTCGGAAGTTTTTCTGTCTGAAAATCAGTAATATTAAGACCAGGTTTTGCATCTTCAGTAGGACAAAGAATTTTCTTAGTTTGTTCTACTTGATTCTTGACAAACTCAATTGTAGTTTCAGTAGAATTCTGACCAGAAACTTTTTCCTCCTTCGTAACATTCAGATTGCTAACTGTTGCTGAAACCTCAGGAACCACTTGATCACTTTTTTGCTTAGTTGAGCAATGCTTCATCATAGCTTCATCAGTTTGGGGCTTCAAAACAACTTTTATGTTGTTGAAGTTAAAGGAATAGATATTGGCTTCACCATCATGCTTTACTTCCCGATCATATAACCAGGGTCTTCCTAAGATTATATGTGACGCATTCATGGGAATAACATCACACCATATACAATCAACATACCTACCTCTTTTGATTTCTACCAAGCAACATTTAGTCACAGGAATAGTTGTGCCATTAATCCAACCAACCTTATGTGGGTATGGATGTGGCTCTGTTTTTAAATTCAGCCTTTCCACAGTGGATTCAGAAACCAAATTCGCACTACTACCGCCATCTATAATCACTTTCTTGGCAACTTTCCCACAAGAAACCAATGTCTGAAAGACTTTGTCCTCCAATAATCTTCCTCTCCTGTTTTTGGTGCTCTAGAAATTCGCCAAATTAGAGAAAGATAGGACATATCAACATCGTCTTCTTCCTCTTCTAAATCATCAGTATCGAACATGGCCATCTTCTCTTTGTCATCATTATACTCCTGCTCATCTTCCTCAACGATTTCCGAACTACAAGGCAAATTAGGATAACCTATGCTATGGGGATTCATAGCTGTTGATCTCTAAACCCTTTTGAAAACAGAATTCATCAGGAAAATCAATTCCAATCTGATCAGAAAAAGTATTAAAACCCCAGGAAATTTGGCTCAGATGCCAAATTGATGCAGCACTAAACGTGGTGGTTAAGAAATCAGGATGGGCATAAATGTGGCGGTTAATGATAGGGTTCTTCTACCATTCCTTGTCCCCATTACTTCAGCTTATTGGAAATAGTTACTCTACGGAAAACTGCGCAAACTTTAGGCTGTTCTCTGCTTCTTCAATTCTAGCAGAATTGGTGTTTTGTTTATCAAAAATTTACTAGGTGTAATGATTCTCTGTCAGATTGTCATTAACTAGAATATTTATGGTGGATGAACTTTGTTTAGGCATTTTACCATAGCAGGACATGCAGAGTTTTTGGTACTATTCCAAAATTGCAAGATGAACTAGCACTAGGGGAATGCATCATTATCAATTAAGTTTACTTCTCAGCATTTGACGAATTATGATCGCCTTAAGGATTTAGAGATGCTTTTTTCTCTCCCACACGCACACACAGCGCAACTTTGCATTCCACTTGAAATCACCATAGCTGCCTATTTTATTACCGTGATTTTGTATTTTCTCCACTTTTAAAAGATTTAATGAGCAAATTTAAATTATCATCTGTTGATCTCATAATTTCCTCCATCAGATTCCTTGAGATATACATCAGCCTTGTCTGTAGCTCTGGCGGTCGTGTTTGTGGTGATTACAGCAGGAATAGCCATTATTAAACTATTAAATGGCAGCATAGGGATGCCACGTTTGATGCCGGAACTTGTTGATCAAGCTTCTTTCTGGAAGCTTTTCACAGCTGTTCCAGTGCTTGTCACTGCCTATATTTGCCATCATAACGGTATGCTCTGGTAACTGTTTTTGAATTTTCTAGGCGTTACTTACTTTGGACCAAAAATATTGTGGATATTACTTGATCTTTTCTGTCATTGAATCTTATATGCCATGGATTATTTGACAATCAATGCTTAGTGAGCTGATACATCTGGGGGTTACTGCGCTGGTTACTGCCTTGTTTTGAATAGCCTTCTAGGGGTTACTTTATTTGGACTAAAAATAATGTGGATATTGCTTGACCTTTTTGGTCATTAAATCTTATATGCCATGGATTATTTGACAATCAATGCTTACTGAGCTGATACATCTGTTCAACAGATGATTAATAGGAGATGTTGTGTGCCTTTTGAATCATCATTTTGGACCTCTGTTTGGACCAATCGAGCAAATAAATCTTGGAGATGACTGAAAATATATTTCTCTGTGTCATTTTTTGTTAGGCAACTTGGGAGATGTCTTCTGTATACAAAATATTTACATCATTCTTTTGTTTTTTGGGTTTGCTTTCTTTCTTTCTGCAGTTCATCCGATAGAGAATGAGTTAACTGACTCCACACAGATGAAATATATAGTCAGGACATCAATCACATTGTGTACATCTGTATACTTGGCGACTAGCTTCTTTGGATTTCTCCTTTTTGGTGATCAGACATCAGATGACATCCTTTCTAATTTTGATGGCAGTCTGGGGATCCCATATGGCTTGTTGCTTAATGATGTGGTGAGGGTGAGCTATGTCATCCACCTGATGCTAGTCTTTCCCATTGTATTCTTTTCCTTGCGCCTCAACCTTGACGGTCTCTTGTTTCAACATGCAATTCCTATTGCTTATGATGATCGAAGGTTCTTTGCAGTAACTGCTGCCCTAATGGGTTTCGTGTTTATGGGAGCCAATTGTGTTCCTAGCATCTGGGATGCTTTCCAGTTTACTGGAGCTACGGCTACCGTCTCTGTCGGTTACATCTTTCCCGCTGCAATAGCTCTTCGGTACGTAGAGATCTCTGTCTATATTATGTAGATTAATGAATGCATGAAATGAACAGGTATTTTGTTCTATGTTAAAAAAAAATTTTAAAAAATGAACAGGTATTTTCAGTTCTTGTGCTGTCTCCAAATCTTTGCTGGGTTGCAGCTTTAGCAAGGTCAAGCTTGGAAAGATAACCACCTGGAAAGCTTAAGATTTAAACTTTTATACAGCTTTTCTGTAGAACTTTGAAACCTATAATTTCTGCCCCAAGTTTTTTCACTGTGGGACATGTAGGGTTATCAGTCTAAAAGCAGAGCAAGTTGAGATGACTCTCTGCTAATCTACTGTGTTGATATCAAACAACCAAACAGATTATTGATCTTCACGTGAAATTGACAGTAGGTTTGAATGAAACATGATCAAAACCAAAATTTTGGTGTCCTGCTTTGTTCAACATGGACATACTTTCTAATCCACTCTACTTTTGCCTCCAGCTTTTATCATTTTTAACCTTATGTTTATGTCATTTTGCAGTGATACTCATAATATTGCTACAAAGAAAGACCAGCTGGTTTCATGGGTCATGATTGTTTTGGCTGTGTCTTCAAGCACTGTGGCAATCTGCTGTGACATTTATAGCATGTTCTATAGCAACTCGGGTAGATGATATTTAATCCAAGAGGGGGGAAATGGCTGCCCGGATCTTGCTACCAATTTGTAGCCCCTGCCGATGGTAATTCAAGCAACTTAAGTGCTTCAACACCTTCAAAATCCAGTAGGAATGACTAACTTTTTGACTGACAATTTGTTGATACTCTGGAGAAATTGAAAGGGGGTATGGCCGTATGGGGGGGAACCAACAGTCATTCATACAATATACTGAAACTGGCATTTTATGCTCATTGTTTTCGAATGGCCTAATACTTATGCACATTGTACCACAATTTCATCCAGAAATCATGTATCCTCTGAAGCTGAACGACAGAAGTTGCAGTTCTTAATTAAGCCTTTACATGCTGCATTACCGTCCAATATCGTCGATCACATTTTGGCTCTTGAACAAGGAGGTTCAAGAAATGATTTTCATAATTTGATGCAAATGTCAAAATGCCAAAAGGCTTCCATAATATTCCTTTATATAACGTAACAAAATGGATTTGAAATGGTGAGGAAAAGTGCTCTGAACGTTCAAGTTGATGTTTTGTGTCAAAGGCAAGTGACAAAACAGGTATTTCCTCCCATCCTCACATATTTTGTTCTTCATGTATCGTGCGTTACTCTGTCGCATTAGCTGTTTTTGTTACACTATTGTTGTCGTTTTGACCCATCACTACTACTGTAGTATTTTTTTTTTTTTTTTTCAGTGATTTTAAATAATGTCAAAACTGTGGGGAGTTTTTTTCACTACACTTTCTCTTTTTGGTTTCTTTCTACCTTTTGCAATGGAATTTAGTGTTATTAATTAAATATACTTAAGGACGCGTTTATTTTCTATATTTACATACATTGAACAAACAGAAAACAGGAAGAGGGCAAAAAATCCGTCAACTTTGTACAGAATTGTAAACGACAAGGCGCGGAGGAGGCTGCAAATCTGCATGACGGTGCATATTATGTCTCTCTTTTGTGTGGTCAATATGAATTCACGATTTTTCTAGTCATATTCAAATATTTATATTTTTTTTTTGTCCGAAATATATATATCTTCATAAATTAAAGAGAATTTTTTTTAATTATATTAAAAAATGCAGAGTCGTGGAAGACATAAGTCAAAATAATGAGACATAAATCACACAAATTTTGAAGCACACCAGATGCCCAGCAGGTGCGCCTCGCATGTTAGGGCCATGATCTTGGTAGTCAATCCTTTTTTAACCTAGAGCATCTCCCCCAGTCTCCAATACATTCAAGGAAAAAATAAAAAATAAAAATAACTAATCTTTGATTGATTAATTGGAGAGTTGGAAAACTTGCTAATTTAGAAAATTGGAACTGTTCATGACTCATAATCCAACTAATTCTGTGAATCCTTTTTTTTTTATGTAGTATTCTAATGTCTTTTCAACGAATTCATCACGCTACCTGTAAGATCATTAGTGGGTTTTTTTTGTTTTTTAGAGAAATTAGAAAACACCAAAATAAATCGGTACATCATAATATCGTAGGTAAGTTATCTCCATAAAATGTCATGACAGAATTAAGAAATATTACTAGGCTGTTCAATTGTTTTACACATATCAATTATGCCAAGAAATTAATTAGCAGTAAAATTTACTTCTCTTTTATAAATAAGTTATTTGCATATATGATCACTAGAGTATAAAAACCCTCTCTATTAGACCTCTAGAAAAGATGCCAATAAAACAAATATGACTCTTTTTGAGGACGGAAGAACTTTTAAATTATTAGCTGTTCTCCCGAGATCAGTTGAAATGATTGAATGGGATAACAGACATGACGACCTGCAATCCATGAGACAAATGGATGATTCTACTAAATTTGATAGTCAATCATATATATATATATATATATATATATATATATATATATATATATAATTATAATTTGACGGTGTGATTAAATATATAATTTGCACACTGATCCAGTTGACATTTATTTCTTAATTACCATTTCGTCAATGAACCTTTTTTGCATCATTTTTGAAACTATACATGCACAGTACACATTGACGTTCATTTCAATTATTTTAAAAAACTTATCAAACTATTTAAGACTGAGATCTTCAAATAGTAATCCCACAAAAATATTTTTTCCTCCTTAAAAAACAAATCTTATAAAGTGCGAACATTGACTAACAATGACATAAAGTATATTGATAAACTATATTATGACGCCCTAGAGGGTTCCAGTTGGGACGCATGGGATTTGCTGGTTCGAGCCTTCGAGGTCATGCTCATAAAAGAACTAACTGATAGAAATTGTACATGTTCTGTCCCAAAATTTTTGTTCAATTTACATCTTCATTTATATTACAAATTAAACTGAAAGTGAAAATTTAAATTGGATAATAATTTTAGAACAAATAGAGTAAGATATTACTCCTGTCATATTTTTGTTCCATGCTAAACAGTCATTTCAAAACAGAGATAATATTGTTTTTTGTTTAAAATTGTACTTGACCTTTTGCATTTTATTAATGTGTTAAACTTCACCACTTTAAAGAATTGAAATTGAGCTTTGACACTACTCGTACATCTAATTCAAACACTCACAGAGCTTTCCCAAGCATGGAACGGAAAAACTTACGAGTAAAATGGGATATATTAAACAAATAAAATAATACTCTTGATGTTCTAAAGAAAACTGAAAATCATGTTTGTAATATTATTTTAGGTTAAACCCCCAAAAAAAAAAAGAAAAGAAAAGACTTTAATTTTGTGATGCATTAAATGTTTTTTTTTTAGAAAAAAAGATTTTGGTTGTTATGTATCTTTAGAGGTGAGCTACCCGGCCGATCCGTCGTTGCACCCAGAAGGCCGGCGTTTAGGTAGAGTATTCATAATGAAGGTGCATATAGATTAGTAAGTACCCAAAAAAACCTCTAATCTAATGCATTTGGCGCAAGATTAAATAATTAGGGCTAAGATACAAGTTGAATCTAAAGACTTTAGATGATGAATTTGGAATATCTAATTCTTGTCATTTCCTTGTAATTTTAGAAACATCTCGGCCACAACTGTCCAAAAAAACCCTTGTTCTCTGATTCCAAACCGTCCATATTTAAATTAATTACATGTAATTATTGAACTTTACAAACATAATGTGACACTTAAGAATATCTTTTCTTTTTTCGTTGAATGATTATGTATATTATCTTTGGGCCCTTATTTGCATGTATGCTTTTTTTCAGTCTCCAGAAAATGGTTTGTTTGTTTTTTCTCTCTCACTGTTTTTTTTTTTTCATCCCTAAATTTAAATTTAAAAAAAGGCTCTCGCAATATTGGAATTCTTTTCCCGTTTCTTACCAAATCAATCTTTAAAGCTATCAAAATATTGATCCAAAAATTTAAAGCTAAAGAGAGATGATTGTGTGTGATTAATTTTAGTTATTGCTTGCTCCAACAACTTTATGTCTTTATCCCATGATCGATGCTCTTCTGAAGTAACCTTCTCCATAAAACCTCTTGCATGCATTCAAAGTTGTTATATATTATCCATAGTTTTCAATGAGCTAAGCAGCTGGAACTTAAAAGGGGCAAAAAAAAAAAAAAAAAGACTGAATCCGACACATAAATGCCTGAAGAAAGGAATTAACTGGCTTTCTTTCACTAACCTAATTAATTAATCTTAGTGGTGTTTAACTTTTGAGAAAGAAGACCCTTTATAGCCTAAAATGTCATTGAGGACTCAACAAGTCAAGAACCAAATCCCCTTATTATATTTTACTATTAATTTACAATATGGTTATGGGCAAAAAATAACTAAAAAAGAAAAAGAAAAAAAGCGGGGGTTTTCTTTATAAGTGTTTCATCTTTTGTTGTTATTATAAGAAAGTGAGACACTGATTTGCTTTGTCAATTAAAGGAAATCCATTCCAACGGCAACAACCACAAAACGAGAGGGAGATATATAGAGAAGAGGAGAAAAATAAAAAAAAATAAAAAAAGGGGGGCAAAATGACACTATAAGAATCTGGGCTCCCTGAGTGTTGCACGTTTGCTTCCCATTGAAAATAAGTCCAAAACTTTATTGTCACCGACAGTCCCTTTTATCATATTTGAAACATTTTTTTTTTCTGAAGAAAATAATACTCCCTCTATCCCAAAATTATTATCCAGTTTGAGATTCTATTTTTAGTACAATTTGAACTAAAAATGAAAATTAAAATGGATAACAATTATAGGACAGAGGAAGTAAAAAAAAAAAAACTTTCCTCAAATTCACAATATAGTGATAGCTAGGTCCCAAATCTATTTTGTAAATGCTTTCAAACCTTTGATTTTTTTTCACCACCTCTCTAATTGGTGTAAGTGGCCACATTGTAAACATGCCCTACAATATAACATGAGTTTGCCGACTCAAGGATACAAAATATTATTGGAATAATTCAATTACAAATAAATAAATAAATTGAAATAATATGGTAATTACTTGAAGCATCCTTCAGTCTTGGGTATTGAAATAGTCGATGGATTCCTAAGTTGAAAAGATACTTATCCGATTCGAACTCGAATCAGTGGACAATGATTTTAAAAGTCATACACATAATATATTTAAAAAGAAAGTAAAAATCAAAATCTAAAATAGTTATTCTCGATTAGAGATGTGACGGGTTATAAAAAAAGAAATGGCTAACCATGCTCGCATATAGTTAACCAAGTATCAAACATGTTTATGATCCAAAGTCTTTTTAAGTGATCGCAAAAGTCAATAGTAAACATATCATTATCATAGTAATTGAGGAAGTGCAACCCAAGATGTGTATGGCAATTGAAATAATTCAAGGAGTTGGATAATCGAATCGGAATTGGCACCATAATGAGGCATTTTTTTGCATCCATGGTTGTCACTAATGGCAGTGTATTGACAAGGATACTTGATCCGTTGAAAGTGGTACAAGTAATTCGACAGTGATAATATAGGAATTGCTTATCTGTATAGCGATCGATGGTTAATTTTTTTTGTCACCTTGGTTCCATTACGGCATAAATACACAAATTTTCAATTGTATGAAGCAAACTATAACTTCATTATAGTGTTTTTTTAAAAAAAAAAAAAAAAAAACTTCATTATAGTGACTAGAGAATATACATATATACATTCTCTTATATGAAAGTGCTCTCCAAGTCTGATTTGCGAATCGAATCAATTCGTGGATCCATTGATCTATATTGATGAACATGAACCACGAATTTTAATGATGAAGATGATTCTTACTAAAGAGAAACTATGGGATTCTGGTTAAGCTTACTAAACTCTCATGATTAGGTAGGAACACAAAATTTTGTCCGACTGAGCTAGAGAGCTAGATCAGCAAGTGAAAATGATATTAAGGTCAAAATGACACTTAAAAAATCAAAACTCAAAAAGATCACAAAAGTACAAATAATGCTTTAGCTGAGGCCTGAGAGCATTATAAAAATAAAAAAGTATCCCCCGAAAATAATAATTTAATCTCCACTAATTAGCGTCCACTTGTACTGACATTATGATTAATCTTTTGAATGCCCCATTAATCAATTAGGACCAATGTCCTTAATCTCCACCTAACACATTTCCAACACAATTGTGTTCTTTTCTTTCTTGTATTCTTCTTACAGCTTGAAATTTTAATTTGTCTTAGCGCATGATCTTGGAACCTTCTCTAATTCTCAGCCCTTTAATTAATTGGGGGTGGGGGAGGAGGAGGAATTTTTTTAAAAAAAGAAGAGATT